TGAAGCTGGAGCTTCAGTCGATGTAGATGACCAGCGCAGGGCGGAAGCTGCATTTCTACGGATACACCGAGAGCAAACAGGTTGGTCGAAAAGAACTAAGAGCCTAGAATTGCGGATTGATGCCATGTCCCAGGGCTCAACAAACAGCAGGTCGTGACGGGCAGGTAAGGGGATCAAGACACACTAGTAAGTCTACAGTCGAAGTAGAGCAGAGGAGAGCAGTGAGAGGTACAAAATTGTTTACGCGAGTCATGGTTCCTGACGCTAAACTACTTTTGGCCTATCCGCATTACTTTCCATCTCCGGTCGCCTCGCGTTTACATTTCCATCTTTGTCTCTATCAAACCGCAGGTTGACACTTCTGCGAGCACTGGCGTCCGGCTGTGTTTGGGTTGAATATTTCGCGTTGTTCAGTACGAAACCTTTTGTGACCGCGTCGCCTCTGCACCGACATCCGCAATCGCTTTTTGTGCTGTCGTTGCGCGGCGGCTTGTCTTGCTTGATGTCTGTTCACATTTGAGCCCGACCTCCTACGCTTGACAACGACGAGAATCCCGGCGCACGATGGGCTCTGTAATTGCGCAGACGCCCGTCCGGCCTGTGCCAGGCATCTGGCCTCAGACTCCTGCCGCACGCCCTCCAGCAATACCTGCTCCTTCCTTCCAGTCTCCCACGACACCAATGTCCCGCCCGGCTCTCGTCCCTTCTCAACCCTCGACGACCCTCATCACCACGAATCCTCCTGAAGCGCCCGTTCAAGCGTCAATGCGGCCACCCGAAGCACTCGAGCCCGTGGAAAGGGCTGCGCGCACCATCAACGAATCTCTCGCAAGTGAATCGCGATTCCCAGAAGTCGACAGTTACTTGTCCCAGGGTTACTCTGCCGACTATGATATCCAGTCTTCGACAACATGGGCGCCGTTTCAGAGAGCCGGTTTCTACAGGATCCCAGACGAGATATTCGAGCAGTATAATAATGCGCAGTTGACGACGAGTATGGGACTATTTCCCGAGCTGAGGTATGCTTGGACTACAATCGACAATGCCCTGTACATGTGGGACTACTCTGCATCGAGGCCCGAACTACTGGGTTTTGAGGGACAGTCGCACAGCATCCTTGCTGTTAAACTCGCTGTCCCTCGCGCGGGTGTCTTTCTACCGAATATCAAACATGTCATTGTCATTGCGACAACTGCAGACATATTTCTGCTGGGCCTGGGTACAGACTCGAGTCCAGGCGGCTCACCTGCTCTTTCTCTGTTCCAGACTGGTATGTCGGTCTCAGTTAGGGGTCTCGATGTCAGTGTCATCGCTTCCTCCGCAAAAACTGGGAGGATATTTTTTGGTGGCAGGACGGACAATGACATATATGAGCTCACATATCAGCAAGAGGACCGGTGGTTTGCAAGTCGATGTTCGAAGATTTGTCACACTAGCGGTGCTGCCAAGTCTTTGACGTGGACGTTCAGCAGCTTCAGTCACGGGCATCGGGAGTATGTGGAACAGATCGTGGTGGATGACAGCAGAGACCTCCTTTACACCCTTTCTTCCGCCTCTAATATTCGCGTATTCCACATCAAGCCCGAAGGCGGATTACCGCTTTTGGTCACAAAACCCGCATCCGAGATCTACGATAACATCGGTCATATCATTAACCAGAGCGAATCCCTTAACAATCGAGTCAAGATTGTATCGATATCAGCTCTACCGGCTGCCGAAGCGTCAAGATATCACCTGGTAGCCGTCACAGCAACTGGTTATCGAATATACCTCAGTGCCAAAAGCGCCACAAGCTACAGCTACGGGTCTTCAGCTCGAGCCGGTGCTCCAATCAGCGTACAGGCACAACATGTCAAAGTACCACCGCTGTCGTCCAATACAGGCCATTCAAGCACATGGGGTACGGGTTCTTCGAGCGATGTTCATCAACCTATCAAGACCTTGACGACGACTCGACTTGCTGCGCGGTACTCGCCCGGATACTTCTTTTGCTTCACTGCTAGGGATGCCAACTCACCGACTGACCAATTATTTATTTCTGCCCCTGATGCCGGTAGACTACTGAGGAGCTCCGAACCTGGGCAGACAAGCCGAACCTCGGAATCTGCAATCTGGCTCTCACTGGGCAGCCGAGCAGAGGACATAGGGTTGGTGATCCCATACTCTGCTCCCATCTCAAGCCCGGTCGGCTACGGGAATGACTTGGCCGTACAATTTGACAAACCTATCCCAGAAGTCGCAATCTTGACGAACACCGGCATCCACATCATCAGAAGACGCCGTTTGGTGGACATTTTTGCGGCCTTGAGCAGTCAAGGCGGTGGACCCGAAGGATTTCAGCACGAGGTCAGCAACCTGATTCGGGCGTATGGGAGGACCGAGACTCTGGCAACAGCGCTCGCGGTCGCCTGTGGTCAGGGAGTTGAAGACACCGGCAATGCTCAGTCGATGCGGGTCAACGACCCGGAAGTCCTCGAGCTTGCTCGCAAGACTTTCATTGAGTACGGCGGCAAGCCAAGCATCAACCAAAACTCAATCACGGACAGATCGGTCCCTTTGATCGACGCTGTACGACCGTCGCCACGCCACGCGGCAATTGCTTTGTATATTTCACGCTTATTGAGATCAACGTGGAAGAACGTGATTGCAGTCGAGTCGACCACACCAGCCGGTTATCAGATCAATCCTGCCGTACCTCTGAAGAAGTTGAGGGACGTCCAAGAATCGTTGTCTGCGCTCCAACGCTTCTTTCAGACGAACAAGAGCTTCATCAAAGGTCTTAGCGGGCCTGATGATCTTTCAGCAACAAGCACCAAGGACGACGAGATCGCCCTGCAAGGAGAACACCGTGCCTTGCATTCACTAGTCAAGTTTACATCAGACACCATTGAAGGCCTCTCTTTTATTCTAGTCTTATTCGAAGAGAAGGTTGCGGAGATAGTACCTTTGCTGCCAGAGACTTCCCGACCAGAGATGCTGAAGCTTACTTTTGAGGAACTCTTCACGACAAAGAAAGGTTATGAGCTTGCGAAAGAGCTCGTCAAAGCCATTGTGAACCGCAATATCGCCAAAGGGTCCAATGTCGAGACAGTTGCTGAAGCGCTCCGCAGAAAGTGTGGGAGCTTTTGCAGTGCGGACGATGTCGTAATATTCAAAGCACAAGAGCAACTGAGACGAGCAGCAGAAGCAGGGACGAATGGTGACTATTCGCGAAATCTTCTTAATGAAAGCTTGAAACTCTTTGAGAAGGTAGCCCACAGTCTACCCCATGACTACCTGGAGTCGGCTGTGAAACAGTACACGGATCTGCAGTTCTTCGCCGGAGCCATACAACTTGTCCTCCGGGTTGCTCACGAAAAGGACAAGGCTAATGAGGCATTGTCCTGGATGGCGGAAGGGCGGCCAGAGCCAGATCCTCGGAAAGCAAAATTTGATCTCAGAAGTCAGTGCTACGACCTCATCCACGCGGTCGTTGTCGCGGTGGATAAGACCACAGAGCAAGGACCAAGTTTCGTGGATGGTCACCCAACGATAGCTGTGACCAGGCGGAACGAAGCATACGATGTGATTAGCCGTTCAAAGGACGAGGCTTTTTTGACGAATCTCTACGATTGGTATCTGCAGCAGGGATGGTACGATCGCCTGCTCGCGACGGAATCCCCGTTCATAGTCACTTACTTGCAACGCAAGTCGTCTGAAGACATCCTTTATGCGGATCTGCTGTGGAAATACTACTGCCAGACGAATCAATTTTCCGAAGCGGCCAAGATTCAATTGCAACTTGCCCGAAGCGCTTTCCCACTTTCGCTTGAAAAGAGAATCGAGTATCTGAGCAGAGCGAGAGCCAACGCATCCACCTACACCCCGGGAGGTAGCCGTAAGACGAAGCAACAGTTACTGCAAGAAATCACCGAACTCATTGACATCGCAGACATACAAGAAGAGGTGCTCCAACGCCTGCGTGACGACTATCGACTCGGGCCCGATCGAAGACAAGAAGTCCTCGATCAAGTCAACGGACAGATCCTGGACATTAACACGCTGTTCAACCACTATGCGGACAATGCCGGGTACTATGACCTTTGTCTCCTGATCTATCAAGTTGCCGATCATCGGGATCCCGCACAGATCAAGCAAACTTGGCAGCAGCTCCTCCAGTCGGTGCATGACAAGGTCCAAGAGGAAAAACAGATCCTGCCGTTCGAAGCCATTGCCGACGAGGTAAGGAGTCTGGGCAGCAAATTACGCGTGTCGGAGACGACGTTCCCTGTCCAGACTTTACTACCCATCTTGGAAAAATACTCATTCGAACATCAACGCAACGTAGCGCCTCCGCATTGGGTCGTTGACATTTTCCTTTCCCTAGAGATTCCCTGTGAGCGGCTTTTTGAGATCTTGGAAACGATCTTCTTCTCGGGCGACGCTCCCTTTGTGGGATCTAATCGCAAATACATCGCGTCGGAATTGGTCTATGTGGTGGGCAGATGGTTCCACGATTCGACACGGGCAGGGTCTGTGATCTTTGGGAGTGAAGCTGCGGCGGCAAGAGTGCGGGAGACAATGCAAGCCTTGTTGCAGCAGGGGAGAGCTGCAGGCCTAGATGAGGAAACGACAAGGGTGGCCCGGGAGGTTGTGGAGAGAGTCGGTCAACTTCTAGGATGAGAGGTCATGTTTGCCCTGCTTGACACGATGCATTTTGTAAACGATGTGCCGCAAGAGTCATAACCAGGTAGTTGGGTGGGCATTTTGGAGTCTCGCAAAGGCCGACATGTGACAGTCTTCAGGAATTACAAGACAGTCATTTATATGGTCGGTTGCACCGAATAAAATTGGAATCTGACCAGCTTTCCCGATTGAGAAGCCCCTGAATTTCTCTTTGGTTTCTCGCTCGCGCCGAACGTACTTCTTGTATTGTATTGAACCGTACTACCTACCTATTACCTACATCTCCACTCCAGAGTTTGTCCTTCTTTTACCTCGACCTGTATAACTACACAAAGATGGCAATCTCACCCACGTCAACCACAGCGCCGCGACAGCACTCCCGCCGCCGCCCACTGTCGGCCAGGAAGCTGGATGTCCTGTATCTGGGCTTCTTCCTCGTGCATGTGCCCATCATGTTCTGTAAGTTTGTTTCGAGTCGTTTCGCAAAACACACCCTAGTTCGCAGCGATTGGTCAGATATCCAAGAGCTCTCACACGTCTCTCGTTTTCGCTCTCCATTCCCAACACACAAGAAGGAAAAAGGAAGAGGGGGAAGTAGTCTGCCTCTTAGCTAGACTGTACGGATTTCATGAGGATTGGATGCAAGGCTTAACCCCCGTTCCCCCCCTCGTCTGATCCAGGCCCCGTCTCCCCCAAGGAAAACACTGATATTGACATTTCTACTAATAGTGGTCGACCTATGCTCGATCCTCCCGTCGATCCTCGTCTCGCCGCTCTCACACTCGCTGCGAACATACCAGCTCCAGCGCTTTCAGGACAAATTCTTCATCAGCCCGCCAGCGTGGTTCATGGCCTACATGTGGATCGAAGCTACGTATCATGTGCCGATTAGCTTATGGATGGTTTGGGGGATTTTCAAGGGTAAGCAAGCGTTCAAAAGTTCCAGGACTCGAGCGCAACTTCTTTCCGCCTCGTCCTGTCTCGTCCTTCAAGAGCTTCCTGTGCGTTCGATCTCACACCGCTGAGAACTGCCCCAGATCATCCGCTCGTCCCGCTTCATCTCCTGATCTTCGCCCTCGAGGTCGCCGTCACAACGCTAACGTGCGTCGTGGATATTTCCGACTGGGAAGGTTACACCTCTGCGCAGAAATCAGACCTGTATGGGCTCTACGTCCCGTACTTGGTTCTAGGTACGTACGTCCATTCTTTTCTTCCCTCTCCCCCCTCCTTCACGGGCAGTGTGTGAGTGCACGCGGAAATGTGGTCTTTGTTCTTGGTATGAATGCGAAGCTCTGCCCAAGGCTGGCTGGGACATGGTCAATTCAGAAACATTGTTTGGCTAACGGTCTGTGGCCCTGTCTGTGAATTTAGCGTGTTTGATGGGCGTCGACGCGTTTGTCAGAGTGAAAAGGCAGATTCTGCACAGCGCCGGTCCGGAGAAAGGGAAGACGGCGTAATGCGCAAGACTCGTTCCGGACTCATGACCCAGGCCAGGGCTGGATCGAGGCTGCTTTGTTGTTGCATCGTTGATATTGAAAGTATCATATATAAGAAGGTGCGGGATACATACATGCTCTTCTATATGCACATAGCAGACTTTTTGCGCAGAAACCAAATCCAGATCCCCCCCAACAAAAAACATGCTGCAACCCACACATGCAAAGAGCCGGGCGTGGCGCAGATATTTGTCCTCGTCTTCTTCGTTGTTCTTCTTTCCCCCATCCCTCTCTTCTCTTTTGTGGCGATTTCCTCCCCTCTCCATTGTCGCTCACAACTCGCCAAACTGCTCCTCGTACTTGGTGATATGGGCGACCTTCTCTGCGCTCGCGCTCGTCTCATCAAAGCGCAGCTCGACCCACTCGTCGACCAGCTTCTTGGCCAGTTCGAGGCCGATGACGCGCTGGCCGAAGCACAGGACCTGGGCGTTGTTAGAGAGCACGCTGCGTTCGACGCTGTAGGGGTCGTGCGCGGTCACGGCGCGGATGCCCTCGACCTTGTTGGCTGAGATGGCGACGCCAAGACCCGTGCCACAGATGAGGAGGGCGCGGTCGGCCTGTTGTTGTTTGTATACACAGCCACCAGGTCAGTAAACAGCGCTTCACTTCCTCTCGCTCGCTCCTGTCCAGAAAGGAGGAGAGGGCAAAAGCCGTACCTCTCCCGACTTGATCTTCTTGCACGCATCGACCGCCAGATGCGGGTATGCGGTGGCGTCGTCGGCGTCGACAACGCCGACGTCCAGAACGTGTGTCACGCCCGCGTGCTTCTTGAGAACCTCCTTCAGGGCGGTCTTGTAGGCGTGGCCGGCGTTGTCGCTGCCCACGACGACGCGGATGGGGATTTTGGCCGTGCCGTTGGTCGTGGCCATGGTCTTAATGAGGGATCGAGTTGTGTGGGTGGTGGATGTCGGCTTCGGCTGGATTTAGTTCGTGTATGTGTAGCTGGAGGTTCGCAGTATTATTATTGGGACGATTGAAGTACGGCACTCGAGAAAAGAGAGTATAATATAATTTATGTGTCTGGGCGCCAACAGCTAATTCCTGGTCAGGTCTCCGGGGTCTCTTTTTGTTGAATTGCCTTGCCAGCTCATTTGCCGTCGGGCGGTCGTGCACATCACTGCGAGAAGCGGGCGACGGCGTCCATCGCCGTGTCCGATGCCCGCTCCTTGTTTGCCCTCGCTCCCCGCTGGCGTCATGGCTTTCAATGCTCTTTGTTTCTCCAAATCCCGACCGTCGGGACTGCCGTATCCAGACATCCGGGCCGGTTAAATTCAGAATAAAAGTTTTAGTGTGCGCAGGCACACGTGGGGGCTTGGGATGGTGGGGGACGGGCGGGATTGGATTCGAGAATCTCCCTGCATGGGGCGAGTACATACCTAAGGTACTCCTTGTAGGGTATCAAGGTGCTGTATACCGAGCAGACAAGCAAGCAAGCACACAAAGGAGAGATCAGACCGTGGATGGATCGATATGTGAACAGATGGATAATTATGTATTGATTGAACTCTGACCAAACACAACCCTCAAATTGCTTCAGCTCCAATACTCCGTACTCGTCCATCTCGCACTCTGCTGCTGGTGCTCACTGGAGACGACAACACCACTCAACCCACCACCACAATTACGACCAGACATAACAAACCACCAGAAACAATGTCTGGATCAACACCATATCCTCATCTCCCCTCCAAATTGATCCTCACTTCGACAAAGGCCTACTTCTCCCCGTCCCGCACACTCGCATACCTGGCCTCCCTCCTCGACCCGGCCAACAACATCCTCCCCCTCCTGCAGAGACATAGCTCCGACGTCCTCTTCGTTCTCATCCCGGACTTTCTCACAATCCATCCGTGTGCAGACGTTCTGAGCTCGAATTTCCCGCCTTCTTCATCAGAAGGAGGTGATGGAGGCGGGAAGCGCCTGGACACTTGGTCGTGGCCCATCGCTCTCGGCGCCCAGAACGTCTACCCCTCGACCACCTACGGCGCCTTCACCGGCGAGATCGTTGTACCCGGAGTCAAGGAACTAGGTTGCTCTATCATCGAGCTCAACCACGCCGAGCGCCGTCGCTACCTGGGCGAAAACGACGCCACCGCCGCCGCAAAAGCTGCCGCCGTCTGCGCCGCGCACATGGTTCCCCTGGTGTGTATCGGGGAACTGGACAAGCCTGATCTCAGAGGCCCCATGAGCCAGGCCGTCGGCGTCGCCATAGCCCAGCTGCGCCCACAGATCCAGAGCGTCTTGACCGCCGTGCCGCTCGACGCCCCCGTCATTTTCGCGTACGAGCCCGTCTGGGCCATTGGCGCCGCCGAGCCCGCCGGCGTCGATTACGTCGGCCCCGTCGTACAGGCCATCCGAGAGGTCGCGAGGCAAATTGCGCCTGGGAGAAGAGCGGACGTGAAGGTCGTGTATGGGGGCAGCGCCGGGCCCGGGCTGTGGAGTGGGAAGAGCAATGGAGGAAACGGATTGGGGCAATGGGTCGATGGGTTGTTTTTAGGCAGGTTTGCCCATGAGATTTCGGGCGTGAGGGGTGTCGTGGAAGAAGTGGTTGGAAGTTTGGGAACAAGATGAACGAAGGACCAGACTCGTTGAACAAGATGAATTTGGGCTTCATCGCCGCATCTGATCGCCAAACAGCACGCAGAAGACCACCCAACTTCTTCAACCACAACACATACTCTCGTCAAGTCATAAACTCATCATCCAAACCAACAGGTATCTCCAAATGGACCTAGACCGTTGCTTCCAATCATCTCTCATCACGCCCAAGATGCCTCCCAATGAGTTCGACCGCCGAGGACCTTTCGACACAGGCAAACAAACCCTCAACCCTTCAGCTCGCCAGGCGTCATGACGGAAACCACACTGGTTCCTTCGCTAAACCTCGTCCGGAAAACACGATTGGCGTTTTGAAACATGCCGTCCTTCAAACTGACGACGATAAATTGCGAGCCTTGAAACCTTGTTTTGATGATCCGACCGATGTTTTGGGTGTGCGAAAGGTCCAGTGCCGCGTCCACTTCGTCCAGGATATACATTGGAGCGGGCTTGAACTGTAACAGGGCAAGGATGAGGGATAGCGCAATGAGCGATCTATGACGATCAATTAGTCCTGCGGCGACTGGACAGGGAGAAAACATACCTTTGACCACCAGAAAGCTCCGTGAGGCTCTGTTTCCACACCTTGCCCAAACACACCTTCACCTCCAACCCTTCCTGGATTCGATCAATATTGTCATCCAATGGCACCAATTTTGCACTGTTGTTCCCGGGCAAGAGGTCCGAAAAGATATTCCCAAAGTCCTCAGTGACTTTGCGCCATGTCTTGATGAGGGCTTCTTTCTTGTACTCGTCCAGCGTGCTAATCGTCTCCTCAATCTTCTTCTTGTCCCGGATCACTGTACGGAGCATGTTTTTCAGGGATGCCTCTTTCTTCTCGACGCTATCGATCATGGGCATCACCTTGGGATTGATCTTCTTCTTCATCCCTTGAAATCTCTCAGTGACGTTTTTCAGAGTTGCTCGACTCTCGGATAGATTCTTGCCGTGGAAATCATAAGGGGTGCCGGCACGGCCGAATTGATCTTTGTTATCTTCAATCCAATCATGTTCCTTTTCCAGCGCAGCCACCAGTTGCGCAGCTGCTTGGGCGTCTTTCTGGGCTTTCTCGACCGCATGGCCCAATTTTTGTACCTCGAGCGCTTCTTCGGCGATCTGTTTGGATTTCTTAGACTTGGCCTGTTCCAGTTCGCGCAGCTCGTCGTCGAATCCCATCAGTTTTGCTCGTTCGTCGTCGAGTTGGGCTTGTGCAATATCATGGTTGCTCTTCACAGTCGCTTCTTCTTGCCGAAGGGTTTGGAGTTCTTCTTTCTGGGTCTCAATCGTGGTATCGGCCTCGGAAAGTTGCTCCAGAGCAGCATTTAAATCGCTTTCAGCCTGCTCACAGTCAATCTTTGTATCTTGCAATTCTTTCTGAAATGATTTGATTGCAGCGGATGTCTTGGTGAGTGAATTTTTCAGGTCGGCCAATGACTTTTCGAGTTCCTTGAGCTTGCTGTCCTTGTTCTTGCTAAAGTCATCCATGTCCTTTTCTATCCCCTTCACATCTCTTGCTGCTTCGGTTTCTCTGGCTTTGGCATTTGCCATATCTTGCTTTAGCTGCTCGATTGTTGCTTTCATCTCCTCGACTGCCTGGATAATTGACGAGGAAGAATTGCCAGAGATCTGCTCCTCTGCAAGTTTGATCTCGTGACATTTGAGATCTAGCTCTTGCTTGACGGACTTGATATTGGCTAGCTTTGATTGCTCCTTCTTCATTGTCTCTTGGATCTGCTGGAGTTCTGCTTGATGCTTCTGTAATTCTTTCGTGACTTCATTCAGTTTCTGAAGGATGACAAGAACACCGCTGGAATTCGGAGCACTCCCTCCAGAAAGTGTCCCTGATGGGTCGTAGACATCACCCTCAAGCGTCACGCTCTTCAGCCTAACTGCTGGATCGAATGTCACCCGTTTCGCTGTTTCTGCATCCTGGCAGATCAATGTCGTCCCAAAAACGTAATCCATAGCGGCAGATACTTCGTGGTCGTACCCGATCAAGGACAAGGCGAGATCAACCTTGCCGGGTGCTATTCGCTGTGCAGCTCCAACCTTCTCCGCTGAAGCTCTAAAAGCCGAAATCTTGTTTAGAGGAATGATGGTTACTCGTTTTTTCAGCTTTCCGTGCTGGAGCAGCTGTGTTCCAGTGTCTGCCGTGTCGACGACAACGTTGTACAATCTACCACCGGCACATATCTCGAGAGCGGTGCCGGCGACAGATTTGTCCTTGTCCAAAGTAAAGAGTTGGGCAACCAAACCTTTCACCCTCGAACGGTCAAAATTTGGCGAGGGGTCGCTGAAATGAAAGTCAACGTTGGCAACTTTTCGCTTCAGCTCGTCGGCTTGTTGGGTCAGACTCCGGATACTCTTTTGAAGAGCAACTTCCTGCTCCCGCATCCTCTCTTCGCGGCCAGGTTCAAATCCCGATTTTTGCAGGTCGCTGTCCAGCTTCTGTGCTTCTTTACGGAGCACTTCAAGACCTCGGAGGAGGTCGGCGTTCTGTTCTCGGGCTTTTTTGGCTCGTGGTTCGTCTTCTTTTATTCGCTTCTCAAGGTGTGAGATCTTCATCTTGGCTTGTTCTTGTTCGGTGGTCGCAGCTGTCAACCGGTTTCTAGCTTCTTGCAGTTGGCCTTGATACCCACTTTCTTGCCCTTCACGGGAGGCGACTCCGGTCTGCAGCGTTGACAGGAGCTCTTCCTTCTTCTCGACTTCAGAGTTCTGAGAATCATGTTCGGCCTTTGCACTGTCCCACTGCGACTGCAACTTCGCGAGCCCTGCCTTCTTGTCTCTCACTTGCTTTTCCAGGTTCGTGACAGATTTCGCAATGTCTTTCTTTTTCTGCTCTTCTTCAGACAAACTGGACTGCTTTAGATCAAGCACGGTTGCTAGGCGTACAAGCTCATGGCTCAACTCTTTTACCTGAGCCTCGATTGCTTGAAACCGGCCGCCTTTGCGCATCTCCTTTTCTCGAACAGCGCGGACGCGTTGAGCGTCTTCGTCCAAGTTCTCAATCTCGCGTTTCAGCTTAACGGCATTCTCCTCCAGGTGTTGTACTTTCGCTCGCTTGACTTCGTGTTCTTGAGTTGCGCTCTTCATCCTTTCGCCAGATCGAACATAGTCTGCTGCAACCACCACCCGTGTCAATCTCTCGAGCTCGCTTTGTGTTTTTTGGTAGTCCAACCACGCTCGCTTCTCGCCGCGTAATTTGTCCAGTTTGGGCTCGATTTCTTCTCGCAACAGGCCCTCTATCTCGACCACCTTCATTTCCTTCTTCGCCATTGTCTTGACAGCTTTTTCTTTCCGATCTTCAAACATACGGGTTCCTGCAGCTTCTTCGATCATTGCCAGAATTTCAGCTGCTTTCATATTGAGAACTTTTGTGATTCGTCCCTGCATGATGATGAAATTCGGGTTGTTGATGTTTAATCCGACGCTCTGGAACAGGTTCTGTACTGTCGTCTGCTGCGCTCGGTGACCATTGATGAGATACTTGCTTGTCCCGCCCATGACTATCTGTCGCGTCACGCTAATCTGCGCATATTCTTCGAAGCCGATTGGACTAGTGCTCTTGTCGCTGTTGTCAAAAACAATCGTGACGCTGGCTTTTGTTACTCCCGCTTGGCCGCGCTTGTAGATGAGGTCTTGGAGGTTCTGCGCTCGGACGGTGGACATATTGGTGATGCCCAGTACAAAACATATTGAATCGAGGATATTGGACTTCCCGGATCCGTTGAGTCCTGTCACCGCATTGAAACTTTGATCCCAGCCAGAGATGACGGTTCTCTGGCTGTAGGATTTGAAGCTGCGGAGGTTAGTTGATCGAGAATGTACAAAGCAACATTTGCGGAACTCTTACCCGTCAATGACCAGCTCGATGATTTTCATGATGACAATCTATACTGTCAACATAGTCATTCCAGTTCGGCACGTCTAGGCGCATGAGCGATCGATCCTCCCACTGATTGAGACAATCCGTTTGTTGACGCTTCTGAATTTGGTTAGCCAGATCTACCTTCAGAAAGAGGAAGGTGCAGCGAGTGATTCTTGGCGCAGTTTTTGAATCGTGACCTCCCAGAGCTTCTCTACCCTCGGACTCCTGTGCTCTATACCGACCTGGAATCTAGGTTGATTTCACAGTCCATTGCATTTCTTCGAAGACCTCTACGAGCCAAGGATGGCGTCAGTGTCTAGAGTCCTCGTTGGGCCTCCATCGATGACAAGCATCCCCCTGTTCCTCGCACCAGCTTTCGCACGACCCTCCACCACCTCAGCAACATCCTCAACTCCCTTTCGATCATATGCAACAAAAAAGGGCCAAAAGACCAGTCATCCAAATTGGGCACTACATGCACGTCCTAAGATTGACAGGAATAAGAAAAGAGGTGTTTCTGCCATTCGACGGACAGGACCCAGGAGTATGCGAGGACTGTGGAAATATCCCCTTCCAGTGCCAGTAGCACGAGACCACCGAGGGACGGCAGCAGAATACGCAGATTCTGAGGACCATGGACTATGGGGCTTCTTTGATAAGTCAAAACAGGCACTGCTTCCACCTGATGACGAGTCGAGCCATGGTATGTGGATAATCTTCTGCTCCCTTTTACGGAGAGCCGTAATAATGTGGACTGACCATTGCCATGGGAAACCAGGTCGGGCTTGGACGTATAAGGAACTGTCCGTGAAATCTTTCGAAGACCTCCATAAATTGTACTGGGTGTGCGTCAAGGAACAGAATCGAACCTTGACTCGCGAAAAAGAAAGACAACGTTTGAGAGCAGGTTACGGAGAAGTGGAAAGCGAAGAAAGAGTTGCTGTCGTAAGTGTTTTATCCTGTATTGCAACTTGAACTCACAATGATGAACCCCAACCTTTCACTCGCCGATATGAAATCCGGCCTTCAGGGACCGCTTAATCCTTGTTGGTCATGATTCGACCATTACTAGAAAGTTTCTGAGACCAGAATAAACCACGCTCTATCAAACCCTTGGATTCAGTTGAAGATGGAGTGTGCTGATCACATGGCCTTGACAGGTACGCGAAACAATGACCCTTATTAGAGAAGTCCTTGTCGACCGCCAGTTGTCGTACAATCAAGCCCGAATATTGGTTAGCCAGAAAGAAGTGGCCGAAATTCTTGAAGAACCACGGTCCGTTCTAGAGGATGACAACCCATTGGAGCAGATGGAGTCAACTCCACATCAGAGGCAATAGGAACTGAGAAACATGCTCTGCCATTCGAGTCAATTTCTGCATCAAGCAAACTATATTTGATGAGTTTGTGGGTGGCTTGTGGGACTCAACAGCCTCCAGCTGAAGATTCTGGGGATTAGAAAAGAAGAGTCTTAGGATCATGTGTAACAGCCTGTACATCTAAACTCTGGATACCCGAAAATTTGTCTTTAAACCCGCCATCCTCATCGTCCCTCATAGTTGCCAACGTGGACCGCGAACAATGGTGTACCATTTGAGATGAACGGTTCGAGGTCTCCTAGAGTTTCAAAAGCAACGTCCCCTCCTTCACCTCCTCCAACACCAACCAATCCAAACAACGCGGGATCAATGCTCGTTGAAGTCATCGAAACCAAGTCCGTCCCTTCGTCCGTGCCGGTATCAGACCCTCCGCTCCACCAACATCGACTCCTATCCCGGCGTGGGCCGCGACGGCAGCGCCCTCTCGGCCGGCAAGTTCGGCGCGCAAGACCCTGAGCGGTTCCCACAGGTTGTCGTTCCCCTCGAGGAAGTCGATCGAGGGACGCTTCTGGAAGAGCTGTTCGATGCGGCAGCTCGCGGCGCGGGCTTCGGGGGTGTTGCTCAGCACCTCGTGGCGGAGGACCATGGAGAGCATGGTGGCGACCGAGTGCCATGAAAAGGCCCGGACGACAGCCCAGTCGAGACTGTAGGGCGTATAGAAGCCGATGAGATTCTGGATGCTTTTGCAGAAGTCGATGGACAGGTGGTAGACTTTGGCTTCGAGCCCGGCCCGCTGTGTCTCGTTGATGCCCCTCGCATTCAGGACCGATTGGAGTTGTATCAATCTGAGCCTTTTGAATGCTTAGCGGAAGAGGTCTTTCGCGAGCTTTTGCAGTATGTCGTTCTCGTCCAGGGTTCTAATGTAGAGGATGTCCAGTCGATCCCGGGCTTGCCGCAGGACCTCGTTTTGAAGATCCAAATAACCGCGAACTGTTATAGAGGGCGTGAAAGTGTTGTTGAGGATAAACATTGCGAGAGCGCCCACCTCGTAGTGAACCAAGGCTAACGTCATGCCGGTAAATCTGTTCTGCTCTCGAGGACGAGTTGAAGCGAACTCGGTAGTATCCCAGTCCGAGTCGTCCTGGTTTTGAGGAAGAGAAGTATCATTGTGAACGGGCTGAATCATTGGTTGGAGCCCATGGTTCTCAACACACCAGGTATCCAGAAGCGCAAGGCGATGCCACAGTCGTCGCCGTAGCTCGATCTGCCACGGAGAAAGAGAAAAATGTGTCCCATCGTGATTGAGACCCATTCGTCTAGCCATTGCAAAAGCCACGGCTAGGAGACTGCTAGCGTGGAGCATTCCACCTGTCCAGAAGAAAAGCGTCCGAGAGAGCAGTGAGCGGTTTGATCATGTCCTTATCGAGACATTAAAACATACAATGTATAGCAAGAATGTCTGCAGCGTCGATAATGACTGACTTGTGGTGAGGTCCATTCGACTCAGACTGTGCTCCGCATATGAGCGATATCGCGAAAGCAACACCTCTTTGGACTCATGAAGGCGAAACTCGACCAGGGTTGAGCACATCGACAGCAGTGCTAGAGAGTAGACCACGAAGAGACGGCATCCGAACTCAGTGGGGTTCGCAGACACACCGCGGCGGAAATGATTCAGTTCGAGCAGCAGCGTCGGCTTGTGCAGAATCTTGACAAATGGGTCCACCTTGTCAAGAAACATCTGAATTAAGAAGTCGCTTTCGGATATGGGCGGGTGGGCGAAAGCAGGTTGGCTTTGACCACCTGTGTAGGGGAAGAAGAAAGCGTCCCTTTGCGACTTGGGTTCTGCTTGCAAGGTAAATTTCAGGTCTCCTACCGACATGACAAGATCAGACTCGGTCCCGAAAAAGAAATTGCAGGTTCGATGCAATTGGAGGTCTGCACTGAACGAACTTCGTCATACATAGCAGCCCAGAAACCTTTCTGCAGATAGCGTGACCTGTCCTTGTCGAATACAAGTTTGCCATCTGTAGCACCATCTCCTGGCGTAGCAGCTTGACCGGAGAACCTGTGTAGGATGTTCTGGGTCATGGTTTCCATCGGGTTTCCTGTTGAGGGGACGGGCTTGAGTCCTGTCCTTCTGTTGAGCTGTCGACAGGAAACGGACTCACCTTGCTGTGGTCGACGACTCAGATTTCGTACGAGGTCTTCGAGCTCAGCGACTCGCCTGGTCAACGGGTCATTCGACTTAGGCGTGCGTCGGTTCACTAGACGGCCTGAGTCCTCGTAGACGCACTCGACGCCGAAGCGTTGACAATTGAAACATGGCTCTGTCTTCGAACACCTGACCTTCCTCCGTCTACAGTCGACGCAGGGGAGATCCTGCGTGGGTAGAGGCGACTGTTGCGGAGGTGACTGATGGCTCATCTCAGGAGGGAGAGTCAGGGCGTTTATTGTGGGTGGACACGGAGAAGTGGAACGATAGGTTGAAAATTCCGACATTGACGGTGGCATTTTATATGCTTCAGTTGAAGCGACTTAATGTTGGATTGAAATAGGCCCATCGGAAGCTGGGGCGTGATGCCACAGGAACGAGGCAGCTATATCCATGTTGACGAGCTCAATCATCTCCTTTGTAATATGACAGAATCAGATCGCCCAAGCCCTTTATCGGTGCTCAATAAAGTCGGGCATATTAACCATGGGGAAGAGTCACTTTGCTGGAGAGGTCTTTTGACGCAAAGCAACCTAGGTATATAGGGGTGAGCTACGAGCTGTGAGAGACGGATTTCTCATGGTGGCGCCGCTGCGGAGCCTGTTTGTTCCCGGGCTTCCGCAGGGGAGGACAGAGTACAAAGTATCACCACCACGACAGATATACCAAGTATGTATCATATCCCACTGGACTTACCTTGATGTTTAGTATACAGAATGACGGCTGTGGACTGGCCCTGGGGGCTTGTCCCAAGCCTCCCCTAATGACCACGCCGGAGACTGCTGCGACTCACAACAAGCTAATGAGCATCAGCCAAAATCCTCATGATATTGAACGAATATTAGTGAGGTGTGCAAGGTGGCAAGGCTGTCTCAGTTTCCCTGCAATTCCAATAAGACATATCTGTATGGTGAACCATGTAACATGCTCAGTGAGGCGCGATAAAGCTCACAATTCTATCTCTCGATCCTCCAATACTGCTATCGTTTAGCTTACACCAATCTATCCGTTAAGCTATGCGTTGGCGATGATTTGAACCATCTCCAGAGTAATCCTCGCAAAAACATTCAAAACATCAGCCTACAAGTTCATTTGAAAAGAGCCCGGTGCATCAGACTTGGACGGAGGGCGGTCAAGGAAGGGACGGGGGCAATCATGCAAAGCTGGGACTTTTGAATTGGTGCTGCTGGTGTCTAGAAGGTATGGGCCCCCGAGATCTTCCTGTATCTGTACCAATATCGACGGATGTGTCGCCCTAAAGCCCAACCTTTCCGCGCGGTTTCCCTGCACCAGCATGTTTGCGGCTATCAACGACCCAATCTCTCCTTCCCTGCCTCACTAGCCTCAGCCGCTGGCACGCTTTTCGGCTCTGGTGAGGGCACGACGCCCTTGGTATGCAGAACCTTTGCCAATACAGAGCTCAATTCTTTCCAGGAGACCCACTCACCATGAAGAATATAGTACCTGAAGTAGGCGCTGCCCGTGGGTTTCTCCGTTCCAGCGATCCCTACTATCTTTGTTTGGAATGGAACGGCATTTTCGACATGGACGGTGCTAACGATGGCCGAACCATCGCCGACATACGGGGCGAATTTGGCATTGGAAGTAAAGATGTTGTACGCAACCCCCAGGTTTGCGCGGGCCCGATGTTGGAGCCGTAGGTGATTGCAAAACAGACAACGCAGGTGATGATCTTTCGACGTCCTCCTGCTTCGAGCACCCTGACCCCAAATCAATACGTCAAACTCCCAACAGGTAAGACGTCAGGAACTCTTACGGTACGTCCCTAGGTCCGTTGAACATGCCCCGAACAATCTGTCGAATGTCATCTTCATTGTCGGTCCTGTTGCCCAAGTCAGAAACATATTCGTGCCTTGTTGCAACTGCATGAGACGGACATTCCACACTTTGCTGTCAGGATTGAAGTTGCCGCTCTTGCCATTATCAATAAAATTCCCCGTTCCAGATATATGGATCAAAGTGCCCTTGGCGTGCTCAGGTCTTTCTTCCATTCCTGAGATCACGCTGTTGATGAAGCCACCCTCAAAGGAAGAAATGGCATTGACAACGGTATCATGGTCCCGGCTCAATGACCGTACCAAGTCTGTATCGGAGATGGAACCATGTACGATTCGATCCGCATCGGCGGTGCCTCTAACCATTCGTCGACATTCGTGTTGCGCAAAAATAACGTCAGAGGCCATTCAGGACGGGGCTTTTTGGCGTCAACGGCTAAACAGGCTTGAATTCGGTCAGTGCATGTTTTGAGAGCTTGGTAAAGTTACCAACATCCAATGAGGCCAGTTGCCCCGAAAAGGAGCACGGAGGGCATGCTGAGAATCGACCACTTCTAGTCTCACAATGGCGAAATACCTCTCTGTACGCAAGTGATTGCTGTGACAGACCTTTTTGGAGGGAGACATCCATGTACAGATGCTCATGATATACCCTCTTACAATGAGCAATTAAATCTTCAACATTCACCGGTCTAGTAGATGTCGCGCCATGGTTTGGTAATTCATCGATGGTTACTCAGAAGATCGACCGCCCGGCGAAGATCTCTCATCCGCTCGGACCCCAGAAGATGCCGTGCGAGGTTGTTTTAGATAAGCCACCTGTCGGCGAGCCATATTCTCGCCGAGCGACCGAACCAATGGAGGTTGAGATGTTGGTTTATGATCATGTAATCGTCCTGCCGGGGCTCTGGTAACTTCAGTAGTAGAAAACGCTAGAGCGAGTGCATTGTCTTTTACAGTCAGTAGCCTCGTCGGGATCTTGCTAGTAGAATCATCACTTCCTGCACCATCAGTCAGCGGTCCACAATAACGACGGAGCAAGGGAGGAAGAGCGGCTGCGAAACTCCCGACAGGCCGCACATGCTCTCTAAGACGGGTGGATGTTATGATTTTACGATGATCACACAAGCCCTGCTGAGAAGAAGCGGGATTCGTTTCCATTCCACGACACGCTCGTATTCAGATAAAAAGGACCCTTCAGCAGCTCCTTAACACTTTCGACTCTTCACAGATATACACCCCTATATTTCCAGAGACTGCTCATAAGGGATTCTTCAGTCGTTAGAGCCCAGCAAGATACTATGGATCAACAATACCTCAAGGGTAAGACAGCAATTGTCACAGGGGCAGGAAAACCAAACGGAATTGGAGCTGCATCGGCAATTGCGCTCGCTGAACACGGCGCCAATGTATGCTCCTCGACACCGTTTTCATGACAGAAGGGGCTGACAGTTGGGATCCAGGTTTTGATCCATTATAACAACTCGGCCGGGCCAGCAGAGAAAGTTGTGGCCAAAATCAAGAGCCTTGGGGTTCAATCTATCGCCGTCAAAGCCGATGCCTCGAGTGCTGACTTTGGAACCACTCTGGTCAACGCTGCTCTGAAGTCTTTCAACACAGAAACCGTCGACATCATCGTCAACAATGCAGGATTCGCAACCCCAAATCCCGAGGGCATCGCATCTGTCGGATTTGACGAGTGGGACTGGGTGTTTCACATCAACGTGCGAGGTCCTTTCGTCCTCATTCAAGCAGCACTGCCGCACATGAAAACCGGAGGCCGTATCATCAACATCGGCAGCATAATTTCTCGCCTCGGTTCATGGATGTTGCCGGTCTATTGTGCGTCCAAGGGAGCTCTGACCTCGATGACAGTGGCAATTTCAGAAGAGCTCGGCCCTAAGGGTATCACAGCCAACGTGGTTTCGCCGGGGCCCATTACCACTGACTTGTCCATGGAAGGGTCATCAATTGGAACAAGACTGAGGAACAATCAGCACATCAAGAGGGAGGGCACACCGAAAGAAGTTGCTGAGACGGTCCTGTTCATGGCGAGTCCAGGGGCATCGTACATCACTGGTCAGGTTATACATGTGGACGGGGGTATTGCTTTCCCGTGAAGACAGTGGGAGAGTTAGATTGGCGCTTGGAATGCCGGAACGTCCCGGTATAGAGGACTCAAATATTGGGACATGAGGATGCCAGTAGGTAACCTTGAGCACGTACCTAGGTAGTGATGCATCACCAACTGCTCGGACACAGCGTGATGGCCGAGGCAATCCGCAAAGTGGCTGATTATAATACTTCTGGTGCATATTGCTTTGCGAGCCCTAACTCTTATCTGGGTGTCACTGAGATGCAATGTCAGGTGGGAGTTAGAATCTGACAATGACACTGAGCTGGAAATGAGACAGGCACGATTTCACTCGCTCGCTCGCTCTCACACCCATACAGACCCCCACATCCGCGAATAAGCGGGGGCTTCCCCCACAGCCTCGGTCCCCCAGCCTTCCCGCTCGCCGCTTACTCGGTATATATCATTCTTCCGCCTATTCATCTTACACTATATAGCTGGCTTTAAGTTCCTCCACAGTCCTCATCCCCTTGCGAGGATATCTCCATCACGTTTACCTTTTCTCCTCATTCTGCTCACACTGGTTTGAAAGTGAGCTCACTCTCACCATCATGTCTGCGTCGACTATATGCATGGGTCAGTACCTCTTCCGACGGATCAAGCAACTCGGAACAGAGCATATTCTAGGCGTCCCAGGTGATTTTAATCGTACGTCCAACTACCCTTTGTCCGCATACTTACAAGATCACACTCTGACCACCCGGCGCTCTCACCCCTCAGTCACTCTTCTCGATGAAATCTACAACGTCTCAGGCTTGAAATGGATCGGCTGCTGTAATGAACTCAACGGCGCATATGCTGCTGATGGCTACACGCGGATCAAAGGCTCTCCGGCTGCGCTGATCACGACGTATGCCGTTGGGGAATTGTCGGCGATGAATGGCGTGGGAGGCGCGTAAGTTTATTCTCGACCCAGGCGCCTGTGGGTGGACGTTTTGCTGGCCTGGACCGGTTGCTGACTGAAAGTTTTGAGGAGAGAATAGGTATGCAGAGCATGCAGGCATGATTCATATTGTCGGCATGCCGGCGAGATCGCTGCAGAAAGCGCGAGCGATGTTGCATCACACCATGAAAGCTAACATGGACCACGCAACTTACATCCATATGGCAGCACCCATCCGAGAAACCCATGCATACCTGATGGACGACAAGACCATGGCAGAGGAGATAGACAGAACCATTGCGGCCTGCATACGGAGTCGACTTCCGGTCTACATCTACGTCCCCGTCGATGCTGTGTCGGTGCAACTGGACGCAAAGCGGCTAGAGACGCCGCTGGACGTGACCGTGCGGAACGGAGATGGCAAGACCGAAGACCAGATTGTCAGCAGTACGCTCTCCTTGATTGAGAATGCCTCGAACCCAGTGATTTTGGCCGATGTCCTCGCAATACGACACGGCGGGCAGGAATTGACCAGAGAGCTGGCTGAGCTGACTCACTTCCCGAGTTATTCTACCCCATTGTCTAAAGGCATCATCGACGAGACACTTCCCTATTTCAACGGGCTATACAATGGGAAAGGTGGGTAGTCAGATCTAAATTCCTTTCCATTCACTAACTCGTTATGAGTGTCCTTCCCCGGGGTGGCTGAGGGTATCGAGAGTTCGGATCTGGTCCTCAACATCGGCCCACTTCTCTCAGACTCCAACACCGGGGGGTTCACGAGAGAAATCAAGGATGACAATCTCGTGCTCCTTGGACACGACTCATGTCAAGTTAAAGATCAGAAATTCGATGGCGTCCATTTCCTGCCTGTCCTGAGAAGACTGGTTGCGGAGCTGAAAGCAAATCCTCAAAAATACAACCTTCCCCGTCCTCCCAAAAGCCCCAGACTCGAGACACCCGTGCTGAACGACTCAAAGTCTGGAGAGATAAAACAATCGTATGTTTGGCAACGACTCGGTCGGTTCTTGAGGAAAGACGACATCCTGTTAGTAGAATCTGGGACAGCTCAATTTGGAATGCCAGATGCCACTTTCCCACCTGATATCAAATTCATCACCCAAACTTTTTGGTCATCCATCGGATACACCGTTGGCGCCTGCTTCGGCGCCCTAATCGCGGCAAAGGAGCTGAACCACAGCGGGCGCATCATTTTGATCGTCGGCGAAGGAAGTCTCCAGATGACAGTGCAAGAGATTGGATCATATATCCGATATGGATTCAAACCCATCATTTTTGTCGTCAACAATAACGGGTATGCTATTGAAAGAGCAATCCACGGACCAGAGCAGGGATACAACGACGTCAGCGTGTTGTGGGATTACCAGAAGATGCTCGAGTTCTTTGGAGCAAGAGAGGACACTAGTGTGAAGGCGAAGAGTCGAGCCACGAAGACGGTCGAAGAGTTGGAGGCAGTCCTGAACGACGATGATTTTGCTAGTGGGAACAATATCCAGGTACGTCTTGCTACACGCACCGCGTAAGATCCCGCACTAAAATCTTTCTAGCTTTGTGAAATCTTCTTGGATACATTCGATTATCCGTGGAGATTGACACAGCAGATCGACATTTCTAGAGCACGGATGAAGCGAGAAGCCGAGAGACCTACTGCGGCGACGGGCGAGGCATGACCATTTTCGCCCCACAGAGGTCGCGATGGCGAAGCCCTTGTTCGAGAAATAGATTTTCCAAAGTTTTGTAGGACGACGTGGTGCAACGAGTACACACTTAGACGACCTGTATGTAGGATTAAACGTTGAGATGTCGCTGACGAGGCTGAGCTCCCCTCGCAAGGCTGGGATTTCATGGGGGAAACACTGTCTAAACCGTAGTATGTCTTGGCAGGGATGACCTCATTCGCTGCGCTTCGACAAGAGCGCAGTGGCATCCTGCGGTGGTATAGCGCGACAACATGTTCACCGACCCTTGACCTTCTGTACTTCTTCCCATTGTCCCTGCTCTCCCACGATCTCTAACCCTCGACCGACGTTCATCTGAGCCCTTCGACAATGGAGGAAATTGCCCCAGAATATGATGTTATCGTCCTCGGCACAGGTATGATCGCCATCTCTCCCTCAACCCCACCTTTTGTTGACTTGACCTCCTCTAGGCTTAACGGAATGTGTGCTTTCTGGGTAAGAATTAACGCAACCATTCATGGGAAGCCATTTTCGCTAACTTCATCCTAGGGTTCTTTCCGTCAAAGGCAAGAAAGTCCTTCATATCGATCGAAATGACCATTACGGCGGGTACGAGATCCGCAGCCTCCACAAGATGATGTTGGGATTCAAACTGACCAGGAATGCACAGCGAGGCTGCATCTGTCAACATCGAAGCTGTAAGCATGGTATTCTCTAAAGACCGGGAACCTATCTGACCTTCCCTCTATCTAGCTCTTCAAGAGATATGGAAACCATAACCCGGGTGAAGAGCCATGGAAGAAATACGGCCGCACCAACGACTGGAACATCGATCTAGTGCCCAAGCTCCTGATGGCAAATGGCGAACTCACAAATATTCTCGTCTCAACCGATGTCACACGATACCTCGAATTCAAACAGATCGCAGGCAGCTTTGTACAACAAGGCGCAGGTCCTCGCGCGACAGTTGCGAAAGTCCCCTCCACTGCTGCCGAGGCATTAAGTTCACCGTTGATGGGCCTATTCGAGAAGAGGAGGGCAAAGAAATTTCTGGAGTGGGTGGGTGCATTTGAGGAAGACAACCCAGCGACACACTATGGTGGGGATAAAGATAATCCCGGAATTACCATCGGATGGAGCTGATATTCTACTGCAGGAATGAATATGAATCAGTGCACGATGAAAGAAGTCTATGATAAATTCGGACTGGAACCCTCCACACGAGACTTCATCGGTCATTCTATGGCCCTGTACCCGACCGACGAATATCTCAACACCCCCGGCATGGCCAAGGAGACCGTGGAGAGAATTCGCCTATACGCCAACTCGATGGCCCGCTACGGTAAATCACCATACATCTACCCGCTCTACGGCCTAGGTGAACTTCCACAAGGCTTTGCCCGCCTCTCCGCTATCTACGGGGGAACATACATGCTCAACACTGCCGTGGACGAGTTTCTGTACGACGGTAACAAAATCTCTGGCATCAAAGCAACTATGCGAGAACGAGGGGAAGAGAACGAAGAAGGCATGAAATTCACCACAAAGACCAAGATGATCCTCGGGGACCCCTCCTACTTCCCTGGCAAGGTCCAAGTTGTAGGCCACCTACTCAAAGCCATCTGCATTTTGAACCACCCGCTTGAAAAGACCGGAGATGCCGATTCCTTGCAACTCATCATCCCACAATCCCAAGTCGGGCGAAAACATGACATCTACATCGCCATGGTATCCTCTGCCCACAATGTCTGTCCCAAAGGATACTATGTCGCAATCGTTTCCACTATTGCCGAAACCTCTGCGAACCACCATCTCGAACTGCAGCCGGGGCTCGAAAGACTTGGCCGCATAGAAGAGAAATTCATGGGCCCACCGATTCCACTATATCAGCCGTTGGAGAGCGGTATGAACGATCAGATCTTCATCAGTAACAGCTTTGATGCGTCGAGTCATTTTGAGACCGTCACGGAGAATGTGAGGGACATCTATCAGAGGGCGATGGGAGAGGAGTTGAAAGTGGAGGGGTTGAGGGAGGGCCAGACTCTGGCTGAGGAGTGAGGATAATCCGAGACGGGACGGGGGATCACCTTTGAGAAATGGAGGGAAGACTCGAGGATATGGAATGGCTAGATACATATGCATGGCGGCTAGCAAACGAACGGATGGCTCTGGCAGATGGTTGTAGAGATCAGGATAGGGCGACTAAAACCCACCGTTCTGCACAGGCGTCTTCAGGAGTGCCCCCAATATACAAGTACAAGTTGATCAACCCACGAACGCTTCCCTCGAGTACAGATACGGCCCTTGTGACAATTGCAGGTTGGTCGTTCATGGGGCACTATCCCACCCAATTCGTCCAACCCATTTTAGCGTCCAGTATTTCTATCCCTGCGAGTACGAGCGTGAGTGAGAGAGGAGGATTTCACACAGAGAGAAAGGAGTCTGATATGATGATATGTGAGTATGTGCTTTTCAAATTAATGATAATGGGAGAATGAAACTATATACACCGTTGCAACCACCAAGTAGTCCTCGAGGCAGCGGGGTAGCCAGGCTAGCGACGGGAGAAAAAAAGTAAAAATAAAACAAACATCCTCTTTACTTCTGGTATCGGGCGAGGACGGAAGGCTGCTTGATCACATTTATTCGAAGACACCAACTCCATGCATCCAACAGCCCCTGAATTGGCTGCCTCTTCCCTTGACCACCCGCCAATATCTGGGATGTCTTGGACACAGCGGGCTGCTGGGCAGATGCTCGGGGATGGTCAAGTCAAATTGCTCAGCCTCCTGCAAGATCTTTTGGATCTTAGACAGACACTCTGGCGAGTTGACTCTTCTGTCCCCTTCTTTGGCATTGTTCATTTCTCCTTGGTCGGCCTGGATTCCCAAGTCGAGTTCTGCCAGCTTCACATCGTACCAGTCCCCTGCCAGGATCCGTTTGTTCTTGCTTTGGGTCCTTTCTAGCTTCTTGCTGATTGGTGCGGACAAGGGATGACCCAAGGTTGCGGTGCTCTCTGGACTGGTGCTGGCACTGTCCACTCCAGCTTCAGCGCTGTCTGATCCCCGTAGGCTGCCAGGCCGTCTAGGGGCGTTGTAGTCGAAGAAAAAACCCTTCCATCGGCCATCTGCGCCTTCTTCCGGCAGTGGTGGAGTGTGTATTCGACGAGCCTCGCTGGGTAGGTAGCTGGTCCCTCCTCTGACACTAATGTCGACTCTCAGGAATTCCTCGGTCTCTGCACTAGGGCTTCTTTTAACTTTGTAAGTGGCTGTTTCGTCTGGAGTATTGGAAGGGGCGACGCCCAAGCGTAGATTTCTCTGGCTTGAAGTGTATGATTCTATGTCCGAGAATTGTTCACCACTACATTTTTGATTGTTGCCAATCTCAGATGTAATGCCTTGCACGGTCTGCGGTTCCTTTTTTCCTTGTGAGAACGACTTGTCTGAAAAGGTTCTCCACCTTAACGGTCTTATGACCTGAGGCGGCCACAGCGAGGTTTGAGGTCCTTGTTTTATCTCTTGCAAGATTCCAGTCACACGTTGAAGTGTCTCTGATGTATAGTTCCTCTTGAGCTGGCTGGTATGATCTGCCATTCGTGTATCTCTTGCGTTTGATGACGGTTGCGGCTCAGTAATGGTTGGCGTCCTTGCGCGTTTGGGCAGACTCGCACGGCGGATATAATGAAGAGGGATCGTTAGGATTTGTTTGGGATTGAGTGAACTTCTGCGAGACGATGTTTGGCCTTGCTGCTCCGAAGACTGAGTCTTTCTACGACGCGAGTCGGGCTCCGTGAACTCTGTCTCCACCTTGATAGAACCGGTCTTGGACTTTTCAGCAGGAGGGATACTCTTCGATGGCGGCCTTAACGGGGTTTGATCGGTCCGGACAACAATGATGTCGCCGACGCTCGTCTGCGTCTTCGTCTCTGACACAGTCGAAGACGGTCGCCGAGCGAAATCAGCTGAGGCATTTCTCCCCTCGACCCTAGTGGTCCAAGAAGGCGACCTCGCCAGGGCACGGCTCACCTTCGGCCGACGAAAGGGATATGAATGACTTTCTTTCGTCGGTCGTACACCCAATGGAGGCGAACTCTTCGCGGACGCCCCAGAGGAACGTCGAGACGAGTGCAGGGAAGAAAATTCTGCTGATCGACCAGTTCTAGGCTTTCCGGAAAGGGTCTCTTCACGTGGGAGTGTATGCGTCTCTGACGCACCAAGGATTTCCCCAGGCCGGCCTGTTTTAGTGGTATGGCTGTGTATTCTCTTGTGTATGGCATCGTATTCCGGATGGAAACGGAAATAGGGACGTCGAGTGGTGCTCTGTGAGTGTCGTCGGAGCTGTGTACCGGGGCTAATGTCGGCGGGGGAGACGCTTTGAGAGGAGCCATATAGGGTGGGAGAGATGTCAAAGTACCCAGTAGGAAGTGACCTCTTTCCTGAAAGACGCTTCATCTTGGTCTGTGGCATGTCTCTTGCGCTTGAAGATAGTATTCTCAGGCGCGGAGGTACCAGTTTGGTACCCCATGACCAAGACTCCGATGAGAGAGGTAGGCAGTGGCGTCGATATCCCAGCAAGAACTTCTGTGACTAGAGGAAAGCTCTGTGCTGGAGGTGAAGAAGAACCACAAGGCGATAGATCGCTGAATACGGTGTTCTAAGATGTGCGGAAAACAGGGTATGGATAGGAGAATCGGAGTGAAGCAATGTCGGATTGAGGTGGCTCTCTTGGTGAAGAGGAAATGTGTCGCCGAGGGAGGGACACACATATACCTCTAGAACAAGCGGCAAGTGCGACCGGCCTTATGGCCATTGTCGACCTATCCGTCCTCCAAAGCCATCTTCTGGATATCTTCTTCAACCGAGAGCAAGCCAAGCGCCCAGTGCACCCGAGAAGAACTAGACCGATCAATGAGGCTCCGATCGTGGCTCACAAATTCAGACTCGTATTGTTCTGCGGCGGCATCCGAAGGTTCTCCGCTTGATGGTGATGGCTTTGTCGATGCCCTGCTCACACGGATGTCCTCACTGCGGGAAGCTAGAGTTCGCTCGTACGGAGGACCTTGTCCTGCTTGACCCATTCGTTCCCAGGCAGTTTCACAAGCGGCAGCAATGGCACCCGAAGTACGCCATCCACATCTGCGTTCGACGTCTTTGAGCTTGCTTATTGTCCACCCTCGCTGCGCGGCGTCTGTGTACTGAATTCCTGCAAACAGGAGGAAAAATGTGCTCTCCATGATATAGCCTGCAAAACTTGGATCGAGGGCTCCGCTCTGACCGTACAGCTGCCTTGAGTATAGCCCTGCACAGATCTTACCGACCATCTGCGTATGCTCTCGAGTGAGATGTGCAGTGACACCAGCAGCAACCACTGCAGCCGGCGGCATCTCAGGATGGAGCCGTTGCAATGAGATGCGTCCAACGTAGTAGCACAACCATACACACGCGACCGCGCCGTTCTTGTATATAAGGGCCGGCCCAAAGGGTGTAGCGACCGGGGGTCCGTTGTGCTTCACAGGCTCGAAATCTGGGCCCAAGGCTTCTGCGAAGACATCGAAGGCTTTGCTTATCTCAATATACTCTGCAAGTGCTTTTGCCGTGTCATCCTCGAGACTGCTTGGGGGTGTTGACTCCTTTCGCTCTCGTTTGGTTGCAAATGCGGCATCCTTAATATTAGCGTCCATGGATCGAAAAGCTGAATCCAACTGCAGAGGCTCGGACGCAGGCGGTAGCATCCCGAGCATTGGGGGACCAGCGCTCGGTCCTGGGCCTGAACCACCTGGTAAGCCAGGTTTACTCTGCCTGACTCTGCCCTCGTTGGCACTGGGTGCTGCTGAAGGTCTTGCTCCTGCCTGAGCAGAGCTCTCCTTCCTCCCTGGCGGGCCGGGCTGACCTTGAGGTCCAAAGAGCCACTTAGGTGGCTTCCATTGCCCTCCTTGAGCAGCCACCGCTCGTTGCTTGCGCCCACGGTCTTTGCCTCCGAAATTTGCAAGGCGAGCCATGACCAGTAGCAGATGATCCAAAGTGGCGTATGGGTTATCCCACCGACCAATTTGACCTCTGGGTGGACAGTAGATCCAGTCCTCAAAAGGCATAAGGGGCCGATCGCCAGAGACCATGCTCTGGAAAACATCTTGCTTACAATACCACCACCTCAAATCCATCTTCGCCTTGAAATCTTCAACGTCTTTCTCGCTGAGTTCCGGCATCGCAGAACGCAAGCTGAAACTTGGTTGGAATTGATGATCATAGTCCACACGGAGGCCTGTCAGCCGAGAGATGAGCGCCTGGTCGACTTCCCAGTCGATGTCATCGAGTAGGGCAAGAGGAATGCCTGCTACGCGAGCATAGTTCTCCTCGGTCAACGCAAACCGAGCCGTCCATTGAGTAACTCTCGCCTTTGCGCCATTTCGCATGCGTCTCGCAGTTCGAGTCAGTCCAGCATAGTCATGCTCCTGTAGGAGCCTCATGGCCCCCGACAAGTGCAGATTCCATCTTGAATGGTCACCAGAAACAACTTCATAGTATCCGAGAACTAGAACTGTAGCCAACGTCGCTATTTCATGCCGCCGTTTTGGAAGGCCCAGAAGCTTCCCAACTCTTCGAACGGCGCAGGTAAAATGCTTGATGGCAAGATTTTCTGAAGAGTCGTTCAATTTCGCAAGATGGAGAGCCCCCAGTGCCAAGATTGCATGAGCAAGTGCCGCATGCGACAAGGCCAGAGCGGGTATTGCGAAATTCCAGAGAGTTCTAGCAGGGGCCGCGATAGGACTGAAATGATGCCTCTCGAAGATGGATATCGTGTTGCTCGTGATTTCAACGAAATGGCAGAATATATGCTCGTTCCTCTCGTCTCGGAGCGGTGATTGTGTTGCTGCCGGCCGGAACGTCGCGACAGTCCGATACTCCGTCCTTCTTGGGATGTATAATTTCGCAGCCTGCGGATCGAGCTGCCCGCCACGACTCAGTATTTCCGTAAGATTATTTGCAGCTTCTTGATATGATAAGTTTGAATCTTCCATTTCAACATCAAATGGATCGTCCGGGTCCTCATAATCATCGACAGCTGGTTGATCTGTAGGACGGTGTATCGTAGAAAGACCACGGGATGAGGAACTTATAAACGCCGGCTGATGCATACTACTATGCGCACTGTATTGCCTAGCCACATGTTCTGCGAAGAGCTTAGCACCGGATAAAAGAGCTTGATGGATGACAATTGTATTCGCCTACATACCCTCTATAGGTAGAGGTGATACGCCGTACTGATATGACAGCGGAGCAGATCGCTGATGAAACTGTACAAGGGCTGGCTGCTGTGATGCGAGAATGTGATTGTGGGCAGGGAATGCTGACTGTGGCGTTTGAATCTGCGCCAAAGGAGGGTGCAAGGTGAAGGTTGCCGACTGATCCGTCAATCGAGGATCTAGAGGGAAGAAGGCGGCGGAACTACCAGCTTGATTGTCCGATGAGATGAATCCTGGCACATCCCCTCCCGATGTTTCGGCCAAACCATAGTACGACTGGTTCGATGGATGTTGAGCACTCTGCCACCCATACTCAGTGTCTGTAAGTGGAGCGTCTGTGTGACTCGAGAGGAGGGCTGGAGCAAACGGCATGGCATGGTAGCTGGCGCCAAAAGGTAATTGATTGTAGGGCGACGGGTTCGTTTGACCGAAATCATGATGCAGTCCCAGGTAATCTTGTTCTGGCTGCCAGCGTTGGCCGAGTGCAACTGTCACATCTTGATCTTGAAATGATAACCGATCGCGAGGCTCATGGGCTGCGACAGTCTGTCCTTGATTGTGCTCCTTGTATACAACGGGCTGAGAATATCCCGCACATTCGCGCTTCGACTTAATACAGTTCTTGCACACCTAGACTGAATTCAGGACGTGTTGACGAATGTATGCAGAATTGAGGACGAGGCTTACTGGCTTTTCTTCTCCGCATTTTATTCTGAAAATATCTGTTAGCTCGTACCGATGCCGAAGAGGCAGTTCCGAGCAAAGACCAATCTCTCAGGGGAGAGGGATAACTTACCGTCTCTTGCGGCATGCTTGTTGAAGGAGACATCAGCATCGTTGTCTTTCACAATTGCCAGGTGCCTTGGGATGGAGGACACAGATCAGACTCACTGAGACAGCCGGTTTTGGTCCGTTTCTTAGCGGCCTGCTTCGGTGTGGCGTCGACTACCGCCGCCGCCGCCTCTTCTGGCTTACTGCCAGACTTCTTGACATCAACGGGTTCCTCTTCGTCAGGCCTGGGAGACATTGATCCCTAGTTGCCAGGCATCAGGACGATTGCCTTGATAGATCAGGGATTACTGAATGCAAGTTGGATGCCGCGATTTTCAAAGCGGCTTGTGATGAACTGATAACAAAATAAAGGCTGGACCACGCATGGAGAACAAAACAGTTTAGAAGTGGGAAAGTTCCGAGAAGTCAGGATATGCACTGCGGAGAAATGCTCTCTGTCCAACTATTGGTGCCGGCAGAAGACCTGGATACAGGTCTTATGTTCCATACCCATTTGCGATAGCGCACAATGTTCCTCCAAAAGAAATAGGAACGGGCTTCATTGTCTTTTGCTAGACCCGATTGCGGTGAGGGAAGCAAAAAGGATACGCCGCGAGTGGAATATCATTCCTAGACTCACTGGAATCTGCCGAGGGCCGATATGTCTCCACTGAAAGCACGGTGGTCAACTTACCGGCACCCACAATATGAGGAGGTCGTGATACTGACAGTCTGTGCAGCCGCATATGCAGAGCGACGGGTAGAGTTCAGATGATTGGTGGGTTCGTTATGACCGACAGAAGGTCCTCCATGTGCTACAATAGAAAAAGGGGACCCTTGCAGTGTGCACAAATAGTAACAGTCCCGACAGAGGTGTGGCGGTTGCAGTGACCCGGCATCTTCAGGAAAAAGCCTGCGAAGGGCGGTTTGGTACCTCACAGGATACTAGTAACGGAATGCAGGGGGGCCGGGGGTGGGCAAGGTGGCGGCTTGCAGAAGCAAAGTCATAGGATTGGGCACCAGCCAGCAAGCGTTTTCCAGGAAGGAAAAGGCAGGATGGAGAAGTGTAGGGCTGATTTGTGACAAAAAGCGGTGCTAATGAAGCTTTGTACTTGGTGAAGACCGTCCCGAGCACTTTCGTTGAAAATGGTGTAGCAGAGATGTTGAGCATGGCATCGACAAGGGTATAATTTTGCCTCCTTTCCTAGTTTGGGGTGAGCTTTCTTCATGGCCCAAGCTGCAGCCAAACGGACTGGCACCACTGGGGTCCTCTTTGCTGCAATACACAAGTTCCCGACAAGAGATGGTGATATCGAGACGCTTGGACCAGCTAGTATTGGTGGAAGTAGGAACTGTATTTTTCGTCATTCTTTGCAGTGGAGAAGTCGATCTTCTGGCTAATGATGGGGTTCTTGGTACTTTCACAACGGTCAAATCGTCAAACGTTACCATCGAGTGTTACAGTCCTGCGAGTCAGGTCACATTGATGGACGGCCGGTCGTTGACAATCGGCCGGGAGATGGATCGACGAGATGGTCTACAACCCCAGGAGGGCGCCGCCTGGACGGGGCAGCGAGGGGAAGGCGACAGTCATTCCGCACAGTGCTCCATAGGGGTAGTAGGGTCAACAAACCCACACTAGCAATGCAAGCTTCCTGGATCCTAAACGTGTTTGCTATTTGGCCCCACTGAAGTGCAGTCAATAGTTCTTCGCAGGATGGCGGCCGGGAAACCTCTTGAAGCTTTGGGGCTCGAGAGCCTGGCTCCTGCACACTCTCGTATGGCGATCTTCTGCCGCATGTGAACACGTGGTAACCACAACGCCTCAGTCGGCGCGCTAAGCCAGGAATTATTGAATCGGCGTTGAGACAATGACCTTTTCTGGACGATCTGCTGCTGATGCAGGGTTGGGGCTGCATGGACGTTTCGAACCAGCCCACGGGTGTCAGGTCCTTGAGTCGCCGCCCTGCATTGAAAGGCCAGGTTGACAGACGGCGCCGAACCTGGGTTCGATGGTGCGTGGTGGAGCCATGGAGAGCTGTCGACCCGTCAAGGGTGAGATTCTTCAGAGAAGATGTTAGCCCGCTCGTATCTAATGGGTGCCATGGTGGAGGTAGCGACGGATAAACAGTCGAACCATTGGCGGGGCAGGAACGCTATAGTCAGAAAGAGGTTAACCCGTTCCTGCGCAATCCGTATGGCTAGGTATCGCGTCTTTTCCTTCTGGCCGGTTCCGGGGCAGCAGGGGCATTGTTTGTAGGCCCGGTAGGGCTTATGAAGACGAGGTATAGCGCCATGCAGTCACAGGAGGCAGAGGTTCCGCGACCCCAGTCTTGATCCATGCCGGCCACGTCTTGTTAGCCTAGCAAGTCTTGCCGAAGACGCAATCCGATTGAAAGCGTAGCGAGCAGGGGACGCCATCAATAAGCGGGCGAAGAGAAGGCGACTGTCTCGACGGTACCGAGTAAAGAGGAGTAAGTGAGAGATGAACGATTGGGGAGAGGAGGAAGCTTGTCTCTGGCATCATCAGCATCCCATGGCCACATCAAACATCTCTTGAAGCCTGCCAGTTGCGGGGACGATGGAACCTACCTACCTAGGTATGTTAGAAGAGAACTGCGAGAGAATACCTGCTTGGTACCGAGTACCCTGCTACAGACTCGGGGAGATGGAGGTGGTGGCGTGTAAGGTTTCGTACGGAGAGGAACGTCCATCAGTCGATAAGGCGTAGGTGGTTGTTGGGCTGAAGTCTCGCGGGCTAGTACTGGGTACACCAATAGCGATGGAACCGGCAGAGGCCCCGCTCGTGCCGCCCCCAAACCTGCAAGCTGCGGCTCTTGCCAGGCTGGCCTGGGCAGACCCGGGCTGCGGGCTCCGGGCTGCGGGCTGCGGGAACGTACCGAGTAAATTTTTCTGTACCACCTTCTCAAAGTGCCATGCACTGCCTGCGCCAGCTCTACGCCAACACTGGCTTGGAAACCATCCGAGACCTGCATCATAACTAACTCTCTTCAATGAAGCCCTCCTCAGAACCCTGGTCTTGAAGGTCTACTACGTATCATGTTTGCTGTTCCAGGTTGGGCCGTCGACTCAACTTCTCTCGTGCAGGAAGGTCTTCCCCCTGGCGGTAACGCCCAACTACCTCCCAGTGTTTCCACTTCGGCCTCCAAAAAGAGGAAGAACGCATTTCCCGACCGTCTTCAGGCCTCCAAGGTCTCGGGGACTGAGCTTGAGAAACTATGGAACCAGCACGCAGGGGCCAAAGCTGCCAGGACAGAGCAGGGGCACGGACATCAGGGACATGATCACCGAAATAGTGAACAAGACAAGGCTGGCAGAAAAGACATCTCAGCAACAGATAGGAAGAGCGACCGGAAGGGAAACAATGACGAGTCACGACCGACATACAGTGCCCGGCAGCAGTCAGTCCAGAACCGTCAAAGACGCAAAGCAGGCAATAGCAATCGAAGGATTAGCGACGACGATGCAGGAACACCCTTTTCGAAGCCTTTTCCGCGCGATAATATCACCAAAGCTCTCTCACAAGTGCTGCCGCTGCCTGCGAAATTGACCCCTTTGCAAGCCAAAATGCGCAATAAACTCACATCAGCCCGCTTCCGGCACCTGAACGAGACCCTCTACACGACTACTTCCTCGGTCGCTATGGACCTCTTCACCAATTCGCCAGACCTCTTTTCCGAGTACCACACCGGCTTTTCGCAACAAGTGAGAGACTCATGGCCTGTCAATCCGGTAGACAAATATATCTCTGCAATCAAAACGAGAGGACAAATACCGGCGACAGCAGCCGACGACTCAAAGAGACAGCATTCAGGCAAGGAATCAAAGAGCCCTTTACAGGGCTTTCCGCTCCCTCGCCGCAAAACGGGGCTCTGCACAATTGCTGACTTAGGGTGCGGTGACGCTCCTCTCGCCCGTAGCTGCCAATCTGTCATCAAAGCCCTCAAGTTAAAATTTCACAACTTCGATCTCCACGCTCCCAACTCCTTGGTCGCGAAGGCAGATATCTCCTCCCTACCATTACGAGACGGCGAGGTGGATATAGCGATTTTCTGTCTCAGTTTGATGGGCACGAATTGGATTACCTTTGTGGAAGAGGCATGGCGAATACTGAGGGGGGATGGAAAGGGAGAATGCTGGGTAAGTGAGGTCAAATCCCGCTTTGGAAGGGCGAAAAGACAGCCTGGACAAAGCGTGGAAAACAGTGTGGGTAAGAAGCGGAAAAAACACAAGCTCAGGAAACCCCGTGCCGACGGAACGGAGGGTAGCCATGATGATATCCGAGAAGAACTTTTTGTGGAAGACTCGACCACCACCGAGGAAACAGGAGACGGGACGGACATATCTGCCTTTGTCCGTGTCTTTTCTCGGCGCGGTTTCCTCTTGCGCGAAGAAAGTGTGGACAAATCGAATAAGATGTTCGTCAGCATGGTATTCGTCAAGTCCGGGGTACCGAGTGCTGGCAAATATAAAGGGCTAAAGTGGAATGGAAGGGAATATCAGATCGAGGAGGCGAAGATGAAGGGAAATGGTCGGGCTGGTGCTGGCGCTGGCGGGTCGGGTTATGAGGGGGAGGATAGCGAGATTCCGCCAGAGGAAGAGGCAAAAGTCCTGAAGCCCTGTGTCTACAAGACGAGATGATGGAGAAGGGAATAGGCAGCGACGGAGCGAAGGACCGAACGACCACCAGATGCAAAGCCGAGTATAAAGGTAGGCAAAAATATCCACCTGATTGAATGCACTGGCCGCGTCCAGAACGTGCGTCTCTCGTTTCCACACCCGGGCATGACCCTGAAACGCCGGAACTACACCGGGAATCAATGTCTTCATCTTGTCATGCCCTTTCCTTCACAACAAGGCATTCATTTCACGTTCTCCTCCTGCTTGGCCCTGGTGTACGATCTTTTCACGTGGCACACTCGATCTTGATCTCCCGTCAGCAAAAGCAAGTCGATGCATGGTCAAACTCTCTACTCCAAGACAGGACAAGACATGGCATGAAACACGATAGGATCAGTCTCTGGACCAGGATGCCATCGTTGCCTTCTGCAGGTGGAGGCTGTAGTTCAGGACCCGGTCCTCTACCTCTTGCCACAGGACCTTGGGCGCAGGCGGAGCGTGTCTCCCAGCCGTCGAAGACTTTGAGCCCGTGGTAGTCGTTGTTATGGCGAATCAGGCACAAAGCCACGGTCCCGTGTGTGCAGCATCGCGAGCACGACTTCCGTGGTGATCACTTTGACTGCTAAGCCTGGCCTGGCACTCGGCACGGGCGCATCGTAGTCCATAGTGCCCTCAGGGCATTGCTGCACCGTGACAGACATACCAAAAGGGTCGAGATTAGAGACGGAAAGATATACAGTAGTCGAAGGTGTGTGAGGTGATGTCTATATGTATCAAGTATCATTTGAGCAAACTTGGCGAAAATTCGCAGGTGCGAATGTCTCTAGTGAGGCAGGGAAACAAGGAAGCATAGTAATCAAGTCAACAGCCAGTCATATGTGTGGGTATCATTCATAGTCTTCGCCGTGGTGCATTTATGCACTTTCATCAATCTCATAACACTCCCAAGTGCGAAAGCTCATACAAAACTCCCCATTGCGGAACATGGAGGCATTGAGGGAACCGAGAAGTCTTCCTTCTCCGCCACTTTTCAAAGAAATAAATCATCTCGCTTCTGAACCTCAGCATTCGTCAACCTGCCGCAGAGACTGAGCAAAGAGACCGTCTCAGTGGTTGCGAACCAGTTGAGGGCATCGATCAAGATCTTCAGATGCCTGTTGAAGTGCTCTTCGTATTTCCTGATCGATTCTTCTATCCTCTTCATTCGTGCTGGGTCTGTGGGCGCTGCTGGAGGAACATCTGCTCCGGGCTTGACAGGTTTAGATTGAAGACTCGTGTCAGCTTCATAGATCGACTTGGTGACATGCTCAACATAGGAGGCAAACATCCCACAACCGGTCATAAGCTTCGCGTGCAGACGGAGCAATTTCGCTTGCGTCAATCCAAGATCTTTCATGCAAGAGTCCAGCATGTCGACATGATCTTGCATCAATTCATCCACTGTTGGCTTCGTTTTCGGATTGAGCCCTGGCCTGACCTCTTCGAAATCATCACGTTCTGCATCATCGACCTTCACCATGAGCTTTTGCCAGTTTGGTTCAATCACTTCCGCAGTGGCAAAAAAGAGCATTTGTTGAACGAAAACAAGCATGCGGGAACGCAACGTCCACACCCGCCGCTTCCACAACTCAAACCTTTTATCAGAGGACTTGTGGATCCACGCCTTGTCCTTCGTATGAGTTGACCAGCAACCCACCAGCTGGGTTTCGAGATGACGCAACGCGAGGGTGTACCGGAAGATCAGTTGATATCGTGAAACTGTCTTTCGGCTGATGATGAGGGAGAGGGGAAAGGGCACAGTATAGTCAAGCTCTAGTGCTTCGAATCCGATAATGTCCTTCTCTTCCTCTTTTTTCTTCTCATCCTTCAACTTTTCAGTCATAGAAGCCTGTGCAGCAGCTGGCGTCTTGTATTGGTCCATCATCGAATCTGGATTGTCCTGGTCCATGCCTTGCAAATTGACGACCTTGATCAGCCATTGTGTCAGGCCTACCGGATTCATTTTTACCTTCACATCCTCCTTAAACGGGTCTGCTACTGCGATGCTGCCCGGTTGGTGGAGAACCAAATCCAGTAAAGACTGAAGTTTTCCAACGTTGACATCTCGATTCTTTTTCCGAAGCTCTGAATCGCTGAGTTCGAGGAAGTACAGGAAAAATTCCGCTCGGTCAAGGAAGAAATAGTGCTTCATCGACCGTAACCGACTTCGCAGCGAATTCTTCGTAAGGAGCAATTGGAGCAACTCCTTATTCGCGAATGAATAGGCATTGTTGACATTATCGAGAAATCGAGGGTCATCAAACGTTGCCGGAGTGTCATCAATTTTGCTGCTGATATTGACACCGCCGCACTCCCGAACCACGTTGAGATACTTCCCAGCCAGAAGCACCTTGTCTCGAACTGATTCTAGCTGAGGTGGGATTTCCTTTTCGCGGATATAGTACCGTTTCTCCCAGTACTCGTCCGTGTAATCTTCGTCGAGGCGTTCACGCTTGATGCTGGCCCTCTCTCCGATCAAGAATTCCGAATGCGGATCGTGGATACCGCCGTGATGTAACCATTCGTTCAGCATCACCATGTAAGGTCTACTTGCTTCCCGTAACAGCATCTCCAGGATGGATCGAGCGGCCGGATCTCCAGAGAACGTGGAAAGTCTTGTTGTCAATAGACCCAGAACGTTGCCACCTATACACCGTTTCTTGCTAAGACTGCCCGGAAGTAGATCACCGCCTTCCTTTAGTCGCTCGATGATATTGTCGGCGTCGAAGTCGTCAATAGAGTCATCGATGTCCTCTTCCAGCAAAGAATTCTTCTTTAATAATTCCTGGGCAAGAGAGTACAGTTGAGCTAGACATTGCGCGGTTGGGATGACTGCGATGTGCATTTGGTGCAGTGTGAACTTTGGGTCAGTGAGGACTTTCATCTCCAGCTGTGCAATTAAGATGAGATAGTCTTTCAACAGCTTCCGGATGGCGGCACAAAGCGCGTGATTGACGGAGCCAAATTCTTCCCTACTTTGGACCTCGATGAAAGCCTCTATTGCGCAGTGATGGGTAGCCATCGAAAGCATGGAACTTGTCAAATCCCTCAGGCTGGGGTCAAGACCTGGCAGTGGATGAAATGATGGCCCATTCAAGCGGTCTTTCTCCTCTGCGGGATCATAGCTATCATGGAATCGGACATACTGTCCCTCGAAGCCCATGAAGACATACAGTAAATCGTCCAATAACGCATGCTCTTGTTCTTGCATTGACATTGTCTCGAGAGGGACAGGGTCGAGGTCTGACGGAGCATGGCGCGACAAAGGCGGTGCTGTTACTCTTGTGGCCAGAGGCGCAGAAGAATGGGGAATTAGAGAGACAGCGGGTGCCCATGGTACTGCAGGATTGTCAGAGGCGCGTGGTGAGTCGAGAGCATTCAAAGTACGTACAATTATCCTCCTTCGGCAAATGCTTGAGAACAGGGCTCGCTACTGTCCGCTTATCTTTCCGGCTTTCAGTGTTCGATGTTTCTTTCTTCGGACTCCTCCTTGTCGTGTAAATGGTCTCTGTCGTTGTGACCGTCGATTTCTCCCGCCGCCTATGTTCGAGACCGCTCACTCGATTCTCAACCTTTGAAGGCTTGTGCATTCCATCTGCAGGATCGCTGAATCCATCTGGGAGAATTGGATAGCCATTGTCACGGGCAAATGGTCTATCGTCTCTTGTCCTGGTAGAATTCACGCGAGACGGGCCGTTGAAAAGATTGGTGCTTCGCCGATCAGTTGCAGATGCACTTCGGTAATGTAGAGACGTCATCTCCACAGGCCGTCATCGTTATCTGACAATTAGCGACACCCGACAGGCGACTGCGGACGAGTTGGCGGCCGAGTTGATGTTTATCAATGTGTTGCGCGTCGAGGCTGCGGGCTGCCCTGAAGAGGCTTGGCTGCGGAGAGACATTTCTGACAAGGCTGAGATTGGATTGCGCATCCAGAGCTTGCCTGTTCACACGTAGTTCCAACAACTCTTGCTCCTTCTCCTTAACTCTGACCTTTATTTTCACCGTTTCTGCCTTCGAGACCTTGTCTTATGGGGCAGTCCTGATTTCTTATCAACCAGCGTCTTGAACGATTCTCGCCATGTTTATTGCACGATCAGAATACGACCGAGGAATCAAGTGAGCCTCTTTGCTTTTACAACAAACCATGGGCTAATATGCGACAGCACCTTCTCACCCGAAGGCCGTCTATTCCAGGTTGAGTACTCATTAGAGGCCATCAAGCTCGGATCAACGGCCATTGGTGTACGATCAATACTCTCTAACCGTTTGCCTACTTTCTCATAATTTGCAGGTTGCTACATCACATGGCGTCCTCCTCGGTGTCGAGAAACGCGTTACGTCTCCCTTGCTTGTCTCCTCCAGCATAGAAAAGATTGTGGAGATCGACAGACATGTCGGATGCGCTATGTCAGGTCTTCAAGCCGATGCACGAAGTATGATCGAGCATGCCAGGGTAGAGTCACAAAACCATGCCTTCAATTTCAATGAGAAACTTGGTGTCGAGAGCTGTACGCAGGCCATCTGCGATTTAGCATTGAGATTCGGTGAAGGAGCACAGGGAGAAGAGTCAATAATGAGTCGCCCCTTTGGTGTTGCTTTATTGATTGCAGGTTGGGACGAGGACCAAGGACCACAGTTGTAAGTGACTTCCCACAATTGAGCCATTCATTGCTCATCGCTGTAGGTACCACGCAGAACCCTCGGGCACATTCTACCGCTACGACGCAAAGGCCATCGGATCCGGCAGTGAAGGCGCCCAGGCGGAGTTGCAATCAGAATACCATAGATCCTTGACCCTGGAAGAGGCTGAGACCCTAGTGTTGAAAACATTGAAGCAGGTTATGGAGGAAAAGCTGGATGCGAAGAACGTACAACTTGCGAGCGTCACCCGTGAGAACGGATTTCGGATCTACAGCGACGACGAAATGAGCACTGTGGTTGCCAGACTCGAAGGTGACTAGAATCTCATATGGTTCAGCATGTCGTATTATGCGCATCGTCCGGCGTCCGGCGTGGATCAGAGAATCAAAGGGTCTTGCACAGAGAGTGGATAGTGGGCATCGCCTTTGGCAACACGACTGAACCTAAAGCGACCTTATCGCAATTGGAGGCGATCATGTTCCTCGCCCGCACTGCCGGGATGTTCTGAATGCGAAGTCGCCCTGGGGTATTATAAAATGCAAACATCTTCGACCGCCTTCTGGATTTTATTTTCCTGCAAACGACTGTCTAATGCTATGCTGAAGACTGTTAGGTCTAGCACTCGTCTAATCCCGAGCCAGCACGTATCATGCCAATTCGCAACCCCGATTTGGAATATCTACTCAGAGGGGCGCTCCGCTTGAGGAGTGATGCGTGCAATGTGTCGCCGTTGGCCATCTTGCCAGTCAATCAGAGCAGAGTGCGTTGTGACACGGTTGTCCCAAACAACGACGGTACCCGGCTTCCATCTGACACGGCACTGGATATCCTGACTAAGGGCGATATGGTCATACAAGAACTTGAGGAGATAATCACTCTCTTCTTGTTTGAACCCGACAATATATCTGGTGAACTGCGGGTTGATATACAGAGCCTTTTCGCCCGTTGCTGGATGAGTTCGCACCACCGGGTGGATGGACCTATTCACCCCGTCAGTAAATCGCTATGAAGCCAACGCGGGAAACTTACGAGACTGGTGCTCGGCGATAGATGCTTCCCTTGTTTTTGGCGGCGGTGGCCTGTTCGTATCCGGAATGGACAGCCTGCAGACCCGCCAGGCGTTCCTGGAAAGCTGGAGAGAGCCGTTCATACGCCTTGACCATGTTGCAGAACAAAGTATCGCCACCCGCCTCGGGCACATCGAGAGCGTACAAGAATGTGGTCCCAGGAGGTTGATTCTCATATGTTACATCACTATGCCATGCGATAGAGTTGGTTCGGCTGCTGAGAAAGTCAAGGAAGGACTTGTCCTCGGCACCACGGTGGACGAGGTGGACTTCAGGGAATCCCTCTGGAGCACCACTGTCATGGAAGGTCAGCACGAGGGTTTCGGCATCGACTCGAACGCGTGAGTTCAGCTTGCCTGGTGGGATGAATGTGCAGTCTTCCAAAGTACCGCCCAAAGTCCAACGCCTTTTGGATTGGAAGAGATGCGAAGTCCTGGTCTCGGAATGCCACGACCTTCTTCTGAGCAACGAGGAGAGCCAGTTCATCCTTGCCTTTGTCGTCGAGCTGAGACAGTTGGACACCGGTCACCTCGGCCCCAATTGACGCTGTGATGTTTTCAATCTGGCTTCCGGCCTTCAGCAGGTTCTTGAACGAAGGATCGGCATCTTTTCCGTGCTCATAATGCTCGAATGGTTCCAAAGGCGGATATCTGTGTAATAAACCCAAAGAACTGGTTAGACTCCCAGAGCCAAGAGACATCACCACGTCGTGCAAGCACTTACATTTCACCCTTCTCGTTATCCCACACGGGGAGATAGTGTGGAAAGCTCGCTGCAGCAAACCTATCTGTGCCCTTCAATTCTTTTTCCTTGGAAAAACTCACAGTCTGGATGTCCTTGTACGCTCCCACGGCGCCTCTCAGAGCGGCAGGTGCGGACGTGGTCGCCATTTCGAAATACGTTCTTACAGCAGATCTAGGTTGAATACTGATCTAATCGAACGAGAATGCAGCCGGTGACATTCCCCTCTTTTATACTATACCCAGGATGTTCGGCACGCAAAATCCCTGATCACTGCTCCAACTTTGGGATTCGCTCATCAATCCTCTATCCGAGACATCAACCCCGCAGGGCAACGTCCGCCGTGTGCGCTTCTCCGTTTGTTGGACCGTAAATATATCTGTTACGACAATGTCGAAAAACTCAGCCGTGGGTTCACTTGTCACGACATGGCTGCCATCCATTGGGAATCATTTGAGGTGCTCTCAGTGGTGAGCACGCCTTCTCGGTTGATATTGCGTGATCTGCTGAAGCGGGAAGGTACACACTCTACGCAGCGCGAGGCACTCCGCAGGTCCAACTCTGCGCCGCTGGATGCAGTCTGATAAGCAACGTGAACCAATTGCGATCGAATTGGAGTGGTTGAGGAGCTCGGAATACTTTGGAGAATGGATACAACGTGCCTGATCCTCGCTGTCGGGCTCATCTCGGACGGCGTCTTCCCCTGTCGGTGAGGCTGCGCACCGAGATCGGCAATTTACCCTATCGTTAACAGTCTCTTTATTGGATCCATGCTGAGGGATTCAGGTCTGGAGACTCAGTCCGTCGAGGTCATGTCCCACCGGTTCTGTCTGCCGAGTGAGAGCATCTTCAACGGAGGACAGCCCTTGCAGGAAGGTCGCAAGCATTGCAACGTGCGCGCTGATCTTTCCGTGCCAGTAAAATAGAGCACGGCTTGGTGAGTGAACAGGGAGAAGTGTGAGGATCTGAAGCTCGGGTTTTCCATGTAGGTATAAGTTAACAGCTGCCGTCGAAATCGCCCATTTACGCAGGTATTGGACCACTGTCGCAAGCTTTTCGAGTTGTTTCCTCTCTGGCCTAGATATGGCGTCCCCCAAGTCAAATGCGAGCTCTTTAGAGCCAGCAAACGACCTCAAGGGAGAGACTGGGCCGGTCACTCTTACCATCGAGGATGGCCTTAGTTCCGGTAGCAGCTCGATTACCGAGGACAAGACCTTCCTTCGCGTCCAAGGCGAAGAGAACTACGTCCCTATTGACAAGTGGGAAGGTCGCCATCGATTCGACCCGTCGTTCCAATGGGATCCGGTCGAGGAGAAAAAAATCGTTCGCAAAATCGATCTGAAGATCTGTTCTTGGGTCTGTCTTGCTTTCTTTGCGTGTGAGTGCCGCCAGAAGTACCTTTTCTGTTCAAACACGAGTTTCTAGTATTGATAGTATATCAGTACAACTTGACAGAGCAAATATCGTCCAAGCCTTGACCGACAATATGCTCGGTGACCTCCGCTTGACAACCAATGACTACAACTACGGACAAACTATTTTCTACTTGTGTTTTTTATCGGCGGAGCTACCTTCTCAACTCATATCTAAGAAGCTCGGCCCAGACCGTTGGATACCAATTCAAATGATCTGCTGGAGTCTTGTTGCAAGTTTCCAAGCCTTCCTCAGTGGGAGGTCGTCCTTCTATACTTGTCGAGCGTTACTTGGGCTGATTGAAGGGGGGATAAGTCACCACCATTCCCTGGTTCGGGACTACTACTGACATCTAGTGCACTTCATTCCAGATACCATTCTTTACTTGTCATATTATTACAAGGGCAGAGAACTTCCTGCACGGCTGGCCTGGTTCTGGACGGCGTATCAAGCCACATCGATTGTTGGTGCCTTTCTGGCCGCTGCCATCCTCAACATGCGCGGCATAAATGACCTCCCAGGGTACGTTTCAATACATATATGGATGAGAGGAGTTCTAAATTTGAGACACCCTGCAGGTGGGCCTGGCTTTTCGCACTTGAGGGAACGCTGACAGGGCTTATTGGCATCGCTACGTACTTTTACTTGCCCCCTTCGCCGTATCAGACGGCGTCGTGGTTTCGGGGAAAGAAGGGCTGGTTCAGTGAGCGAGAAGAAAAGATTATTGCTAACCGCATTCTACGGGACGACCCTAGCAAAGCCGACATGCACAATCGACAAGCTGTTACGCCAAAACTACTCTTCTACGCTCTCTGTGACTGGGAGATGTGGCCAATCTACGCTATTGGGCTGTCCTTTTTGATCCCCAACTACCCTGTCACCCAGTACTTGTCGTTGATCCTGAAGCAATCCTTCGGCAGATTTGAAGTCAATATGCTCACCATCCCCTCATACGTACTCTTCATTATTAACCTCCTCGCTTTTACCTGGTTGTCTGAGAAGACGAACCAAAGATTCCTGGTTGCACTACTTAGCCAGATCTGGTGAGTCGATTCTATTCTGTATATTCGATGTCTGTTACTGGAGTCCGAGGTGCACGACGCGGAGGCGTCCACGGGGAATCGGTCCCGGGAGACCACGCTGACATTCCTTCTGCTTCAGGTGCATGCCATTACTTATCGCGTCGGAGCTCTTGCCTGGGGAGGCGTCCAGATGGGTCAAATATACTTTGGCCACTTTGCTCGTAGGCGCTCCATATGTGCATGCGATACACGTAGCGATCACCAGCCGTAACGCTGGTTCAGTTCGAACAAGGACTGTGGCTTCGGCGTTATACAACATGTTTGTGCAAGCGAGTAACATCATCGGATCAAATGTGAAGATCCCTCTCCAATTCTTGCAGAAGACTTTTGTTGCTGACCGCTATGGAACGCGCAGATTTTCAGAGCCGACGATCAGCCTCTATATCGACGTGGATATAAGGTTCTTATCGGCATTAGCGCGTACAATATTGTCCTATTCCTTCTCGCAAAATGGTTCTATGTCTGGAGAAATAAGTAAGTCGTCCATGCCCCTCCTCGACGCCTTCGTCTCTTTTGCTGACTCCAACTTCAGAGTCCGCGACCGTAAATGGAACTCGATGACAGAGGACGAGCAACGGCAATACCTGGCGACAACGACAGATAAGGGAAACAAGATGCTCACATTCAGGTTTGCACATTAGAAACAGAGAGGCAGCGAGACAGCAAGGCAGGAAAGGAGCCCGACGTCATCAAGAGAGGGTGGGATTGTCATAGAACCACGTGATCAGGCGTTGTCGTCAGACGCGTGGGACGCGTGCTAGTGGCTGACCTTGCTTGGCCTTGTTTGCCTCTGTTGATCACGATTGTCGTTTCGCGTTCTCGTCAGGTTATTGTCACCCACTTTTCCAAGCTTCTTGAACCTTCTGGTCGTCCTTGTACTCTTCGTGGCGTTCCTCCACCTCTGACGTCGTAGTATCCTCTGATCACCAGCCTGATCACCCTTCCATGAGATCATCCCACGACTTCATACTTGTACTTTGTATAAAGCCTCGATCCCTCCGGCGGGGTTCCGGTCCAAATGTCTCTTCCTGAGAAGACCCAACCACAATCCCAAGACTCCTTTCTGAACATCGCATCCAGTCTCCAGAATCTTTCCCAATTGATGAATATGCCCGCAAAGAAGGCTCTAGAGGACCGCAGCGTCAACATTCCTTCCGCCGCTCAAAAGCGCGACGGGTGTAAGTCCACAGCAAGTAAGAAACGCAAGAGCGACAGCAACGAGAACGAAATTGACTTAGATGTGAGTTGGAAAGGTCTTCTTGCTATCCTCTCGCGTCACGCTCTGCTCTTCAGCCATTTTGTAACAATTGACGGCCTCCATATTCCTGATTTTTGCCGTCGTCCTTTTCTCACTCTTTTATTGCCCTCTGTTCATTCGAATATCGACTCTAATCCTAACCTCTTTTCAGGATGGGACGGCCGACTCCACAGTCCCAAAACCGAACAAGAAGGCAAAGAAAGATGAATCGGCCACCAGGAAAGGAAACGCGCAGCAAAAAGGTGCCGGCTCCAAATCCAAACAAGGCGCGGCAGGAGACAACGACGTCTCCTCAATCCACCTTGATGGTGATGAAAGAGACTCGGTCCCTGTGTATGATACCTGCGACGACATCCGCACCAAAATCAATCGTTTCCTACGAGAAACGCCGGGGGCTAGCAACGCAGGCTTCACTCGCACCATCAATGCGGCTCTTCCGCAATCAACAGGGGTGAAAGCAACGGCAGCACAACTAGGCAGGTTTTTAAAGAAGCACGGTCCTACGGACGGCGCTGAAAGCCCGGTCTTTTACGCGAGCTATGTCTTCTTTGAGAAGCTTCGCATCAAGTGGGAGAAGCCAAAGTCGAAAAAGAGAGAGGAGATGGAGAGTGTCTGGGGACCCCAAGGTATGGGCCTGCATGATCTTGGCAACCGGTCTTTCATTTGCCATCAGAGCGAAAGGCCGTATGTGACTAAATTTGGGGAGCTGAAGTTCGCGCGAAGATAACGGTGGTGCGGTGATGCAGGTGTGGTTTGGATTTAGGGAACAGAGGGCGGTTTCTTATGTGTACCAGTAGTTGTCTATGGGAATTTCAACAATGTAATAGAAGTAACACTCTCGTTTCAGTCTCTTTGCCTCTTCCGTGGTTAGTACTGGTCGGCTCTCCACACTTCCTGCGCCATCGCCCGTCCCATGCAGTTTCGACGCTTTTCTCTCTGCATTTGAGCGAGCACTTCTACGTTTGCACACGGCGCGGTGGACACGTCGACTTCAAGTACGAGTCCTCGCGAGTGCCCTCGTCGCATGTCACGAGCAACATACACCGTGAGCAGCTCTGTACGGAGTACTGAGTACATGGCTCGGCCAGTCAGCCGGCCGGTTGGCCCAGTATGTGTATGTAGTTGCAAGTACAAATTTCGAGAGTCAACGCGCTGGGACGCTGATTGTGAGGTGAGGATCTCCATATACAGGCCGGTCGTCAAGTTTGTGTATAGAGTTACATTACGAGACATTCGTTGGTCTGCGAGTGCTCAAAACTTGGTCCCTAAAAAGGGAGGCAACGGGGCCGGGTCTTTCGATTGGCGGATGTCTATAGGGTATAGTGTCTATCATCTGCCTGTTGAAAATGTGTCTGACAGTACACATGGTATACATTTCAAGGTATGTAAGATGGTTATCAGAGAAGGATTCGCCTCTGTTCCATAGTACCGTTCGGAGGATATTCACCTGCTTGCTTCTTATCTTTCCACCTTTTTCTATCCAAGTCGTGTCACAAAGATATACTTAGGCACTTCCTTTCAAAAGCCTGGAACATGCTGTTCTATGGCATGCAACCCCAATGACCCACAAAATCTCGCACCTGATGCATTGCATAGCTCCCCAAAAAAGACCTGTCGTCTGTTCCGGCTGATGAGTAATATGTACAACCCAAGGAACTAAATGACCCCTGCACGCCCGAGAGAATTCTTGCTTTTCAACTCGTGCCGACCCCTGATTGCGTTCCCTTTGTGAGTCCGAGCTCCTCGTAAAATGCGTCTGTTTTGGGCTCCCTGCCGAGGAAATCGACCAGAGTCTTCATTTCGTCTTGACTGCCGCCCTTCTCGAGGACCGTATGTCGGTAGCGGCGGCCTTCTTTGGGATCCATGGGGTTCTTCTTGAAGACCGTATAGAACATGTCCGTGGAGTAGACTTGGGAGGAGAGGTAGCCGTAGTAGCCTGCAAGAGACACATGTGAGTAGAGTCGCTTAGGAGGAGAGGATCCGGCTCAACGAAGAAAGAAAAGTGAAGCAGTGGTGGCGGAGAGCGGGAGACTTACCGGCATCATAACCACCCATCAAATGGCCAAAGGTGGCTTGTCCGTTCCCCCAACTATTGCCTTCGCCAAACACTTCGGGCCCGTCAATCTTGCTAATATCCTTCCTCAAGGCATTGTATGTCTCAGATATGTTCATTTCTTCGAGACTGCTGTGATCTTTCGGCTCGTGTATCGCCATGTCAAAGATGCCAAAGTGCAATTGACGAAGATTGAACAGGGCGCCGTTGAGGTTCTTCGTCTTAATCAGTTTCTGTATCAGATCATCCGGGATGCGTTCTTCGGGTTTCCCTGCGTCCGATCCACCAGCTGCCTCTTTCCATGCCTCGTAATAATCGGACGACAGAGTCGAGTAGTGTCTGCTCAGCGATTTGAGCTGAGATGGTGTCCAGCACCAGTTCTCCAGCATTTGGCTCGGTGCCTCGACAAAGTCTCTCACAGTGTTGGTACCATGAAATCGCGAGTAGGTTGTACGAGATACGAGATCGTGGATGCCATGACCGAGTTCGTGGAAGAGAGTGGTGACTTCGTCGTGCTTCAGCAAACTGGGCTTCTTTGCCGTGGGTTTGGAAAAGTTGCATACGAGAGCTGTGGCTGGATACCTCCTCGTTCCGTTCTGTTGAACGAAGCCCGGTTGGAGATTGAAGTTGGCCGCATGTCCATATTTCCCAGTACGAGGGAACAAGTCCAGGTATAGGTAGCCCACAAATCCACTACCTTCGCCTTCATCGTCCCAGACGCTGAAGACCTGCACCTCTTCATGCCACACAATATCCTCACCCTTGCCGGATGGTGAAACCGTGTCTCGGTCCTTGCCCACGATTTCCACGAAGACAAGGCCAAATAATTGTTCGAAGATCTCAAGCATGCCTTTGATCGTGGTTTGCAGCGGGAACCATTCCGAAATCAACTGTTGATCCAGCTGGTAGTCCTTCTCCTCCATCATCCGATCATAAAAGCGGTGGTCCCACAGATAATAGCGGCCGTCAAATTCCTCACCGCGAGATTTCAGATCTTCTTCCTTCATCTTCTTAAGAGTTGCAATCTCATCTAGGCCTCCCTGGGTTAATCGGCTGCGCAAATCAGCCAGAAAATCGTCCACCGTTTTGGGGGTCTTTGCCATTTTATCCTCGATCCTGAAGGCAGCATGATTGGGATACCCAAGCAGGCGAGCGGCTTCGTCTCTGAGCAGGATAGCTTCCCGGAACAGCGGAACGTTTTGATTGCATTTGTTCTCGTTAGCAACAAAGACTTTCCGTCTGGTGGCGCTATTTGTGGCGTATTTGAGAGTAGGGAATAGATCTGGATATTTGAAGGTCAACCAGTACTTGTCCCCTTCTTTCTTCAACAGAGAGAGGACATCCTCAGGAACACCGTTGAGATCTTCGGCGGTAAACCACAGACCGCTCTTCTCTTCATTCAGCGTTTTGGAAAACGCAATGCCCAGCTGGCTGAGTCTCTTCTTGATTTCCTTGAACCGATCCCGTTTTGGCCCTGCTGGAATATTCAAGCCATTCCGTACAAAGGCTTTGTGCTCCTTTTCTAGTAATCTCTGGGACTCGGGATCCAACTTCTCTCCCTTCTTGAGCACCGCGTCCACCAGATTGAAGACGTCCTCCCGCATAGCAGCCTCAATACTAAAGTCGTCCATGAGTTTCTCGGCCTCTGTTGAAGCATCCCGCAGTGCCTGGTCGGTGGAGACAGACTGGTAGAAACCTAGGATGTGGGCTTTCAATGTCTGCTGGTTCTCGTCATGCGCCATGGGAAGAAGCACATTTTGAAAAGTCGCATCTTGCTGCGAAATTTGAGCCACAATGTCGTCTGTAATCTTCTTGGAACCAGCCAACATGTCCTTTGTTTCTTTCATCAGCGACTCAGGAGTTGCCGTGAAGCTCGGGGGGGCCTGCGGAGGCTTGCGAAACTTCCCCGAAGTCATACTGGAAGTGGTCACCGGTCTGAAAGAGGACGTCGAGGAAGATGCTGGCTTGAGGGGTCGGATTTGGTTCAAGATCGAACCCAACCGGGGAACTGCACGAAAGGGAGCCAGGCTGATGATGGTCACGAGGGAGAAGAAGGCGATGGAGGCGAGGAAAACGAGTAAGCCCTTTGATCGAGCCAGCGTGACAGATTGACGGTGGATAGAGATTTATAGCAGGGACATGAATAGGAAGCGGACGCGACCTAGACACCGCCGAAGAGCGAATAAATTCTTTCTCTGGCAGCAAAATCAGAATGAGACTCGGAGACTCTGATGTTGCGAAGAATGATTTGTTTCAGCGACACTGAACGAGTCTAGATCTGCGAACTGCGGACTATTATGCCCGTCTCCCCACATTCACCTCCCGGGCACTTTGTCACACATTCAACCATCATTTTATACTCCATGGAGCACGAATGATACCTCTCAAACGCTACACCCTATCCATTGACCAGTCGGCCCCTGTCCCTCATTATTCGAAAGCCTGCTCTAAGGCATTTGCAGTCAAAAAAACAGGAACCCCATCCTCGTACAGTCATCTCTGATCACTGATTTTCGCGGTAATCCAATCTGAAGCCGACCTACCTACATGGGAAGCAAGGTGCTCGGTCTAGGAGCAACAAGCATGGCTCGAGTTGCGCTCTTCGAGGTCCCCCACACCAAACGTATTGCTCGCAGAGCACTTTGGTGTGTGTTTGATCGAAAGGACCGTTCCTGTTTCATCTGTGGGTTCCAATCCAATCTGGATGTCCAGGGAATTAGGCCGTGTGGTTGAAAACTCTTGTATGAACCAGATGCAGAATGATATTGATGTTCTTGTACGCGCGCCGCAATGATGCATGGGTATATTTTAACAAACATCATGACTCTGATTGCACAGTTTGACTGCAGGCCGTTAGAACGCTCAACGTGTACTTCGAGTTAACAGACTTACGAAAGCCAATCCATGCCCTCATTGATCCCTTTCCCATCAATCACTGAGCACGCAACAATACTCCAATTCCGGTCTCTCAGCTCGCCCAGTTTCAAAGCTTCAGAGATCTCTCCTGCTCCTTGTGCGCCAGGCTACCAGCCGTCAGCCGAGTCCCAGAAGCCGAGAGAAGGTCCGTACCTGATCTTGCTTGTTGGCAAACACCAATAAAGCTGCATCTTTCAATTCATCTTCATTCAGCATCGACCTTAGCTCGTCCGCGGCGATCTCTAATCGTTCAATGTCGGTTGAATCAATGACAAATATCACAGCGGCGGTGTTGGCGTAGTATGATCTCCAGTAAGGCCTTATTGAGGTCTGTCCACCCAAATCCCAGACATCGAAGTTCAGATTGCCGTACTGGACGGACCTAGTAGAGTGGAGTCAGTCTCTCATGCCAGATGTATAATCCTTGTGCAAGACTGACTCGACATTGAATCCAATTGTCGGTATCGTAGTTACCACTTCGCCGATCTGTCTCATTTAGATCAAGGTCCAGGTCCGTCAACGATGGCCTACCTTGAGTCTGTACAAAAGAGTGGTCTTGCCGGCATTGTCCTTATTGAACACCTGTCAGCCCTTTTTGTCTCCGGTGATAGAAATCTCGAACAACGCACAAGACCAAGAATCAGAATCCTGATATCTTTCTTGCCCCAAATGAGATTGGTGAAGTATTTTGATAGTGAGCCACCCATGTCCGACGATGGAAGACGTCGGCTTCAACAGGCTAGAGTCGACAAGTGGTCACGAAAAGACCATGTCGCTGATTTGATTTCGATATGGGACTTTCGTAGTTTTTCGAATAGAGCCTGATCAGGGTGACGTGCAGACAGTGTCTACTTCCGGCTATTCTTATCTGCCTTCGCTGAGATCCAATGTCACCTAGATTGTGAAGAAAGGACAAAAAAGAGAAAAATAGAAGCCCAGAGATGTTGTGGTGGGCGAAGCCTCGAACGTCAAGCCACTGACCGCCGATGATCCGGGGTGGGACTTTCCTGGACTTTCCTCGCTTCTCTCAACGCGTGCCACCACCTGCAACTTGCGGAGTTCTGCCTCTTCCAGACCAGCACAACCTGACTTTGGCCTTTGCGCCGTCTCATACCACACATTGTACCACCAGGAAAAGGGACCTCCTCTCTTCCCGCCCAACCTTACGCCAGAATGGTACAATAGACTGTCATCATCGACGAAGACCGTCACGCCTCTCTTTCAACTCCATCCCGAATCATAAAAAGTTCCAAAGGGGTTGAGGGAGACCATATAAAGATGGTGGGCAAGAAAAGCGGAAAGGCACTCCTGCGGGAGGAAGGCCTGGAAAGAACCGACAAGTGAGTTCTCCTTGTTTTCGAAGGACCTTTTTTCGATTTTGCGACAGTCCTCGCCATTAAGCGGCCTCAAACGGCGATACAGACTAACGGTTGTTTATAGCAACATGGAGCTGACATCCTGGCCTATGATCCAAGCCATAAATCAAAAAAACTATTACACGGACTATCTCAAACGAGACGAACAAATACTGGCCTTCCGATCGCAGCAGGAGGAAGCCCGCAACAAAATGGTGAAACAAGCCAAAGATAGGGATCGGGCACTCGCACAAGGCAAAACAGTCGGGCCTGATGGGGACATTGAAATGGAGGATGGTGAAGAAGAGGCTGAAGACGAGGCTTCAAGCGGAGCAAAGACGATTGTTATCCACATCGGGTCCCAGAATCTAAGAGTTGGTCTTGCCAACGACGCTCTACCAAAGACCGTTCCCATGGTCATCGCGCGCCGATCGGCTAAATCTGAGAGCGAGGAGGGAGATGGAGAACCAGCACCCAAAAGAGCCAAATTGGACAATGGCTTACCGCCACCAGAACCAGAGAAGCGTTTTGGCGAGGACTTTGCAAAGAAGTTTTCGGCCATGTCTCAGGATCTCAAAGTGCGGATGAGGATGAACAAGAGAAAGGTGTTGCCGCAGTCGAGAGACATGGTAACCAGCTACAACCGTCGAAATACATACGAAACTATAACGGAGCACAATGACACCATGCGTATTGAGTGGACAGATACCACAGATGGTTTGGGCGGTCCTCCCGAATATATCACCGGCAAAGCCGCTCTGCGGATCCCAGATCAGTCAACGCCGCGGTACAAACTGTTCTGGCCCATTCGATGTGGGTGGATCAACGAGCAAGACTACGACTCGAAACGTTTCTTGTACGATGACATCCGCATCATTATCGAAGACGCCATCAAATCTCAACTCGAACTGAAACTCCGCACCCGGGCAGACTGGAATCAATACAGCTGCGTCATAGTCATCCCTGACTACTACGAGAGAACATACGTAACAAGCCTGCTTGAATTGGCTATAGCAGAGTTCGGGTTTGGACGAGTCTGCTTTATTCAGGAAAGTTTGGCTGCTTCCTTCGGCGCCGGCTTTACGACTTGCTGCATTGTCGACATCGGCGCGCAGAAGACAACGATATCGTGTGTTGAAGACGGAATGGTTATTGACAACTCCCGAGTCAACCTGAAATACGGCGGAAGGGACATCACGGAAACATTCGTTAAGATGATCATTTACAACCATTTCCCATATTCAGAGATCAACCTAAACCGACGATATGATTTTCAGCTGGCAGAAGAGCTGAAGCAGAAGTATTGCACCATGACCGAGGCAGATGTGTCGGTACAATTGTATGACTTTCATTTGCGTGCGCCGGGACAGGACACCAGGAAGTACACATTCAAGATCTACGACGAAGTTATCCTCGCCCCAATGGGACTTTTCAAACCTCAAATCTTCGATAACGGTGGGAAACTCAATGGTCGTCGTAAACTCGTCGACAAATCCTACGACATCTACGACGGCAAACCAAACGATCCGAGCTCGACCGCGCAAGCAGAGATCCTGACGGCTATTGCTCCGGAAGAAGTTCTCACCTCGACAAACAAGCTTGCCACCAAGGCCAATGGACACATCAATGGCGTTCTCACCAATGGAACAGCAACAAAAGATGAAGCATTCAACAATGACTCCCGCCGTCCATCGTTTAGCAACATCAAGGAAATGGATGCAACACCACAACCATCAGCTGCAAGTTCTCCGGCCCGCAACTTGGCGGACGGCACACCGCAACCAGGGGAGGAGAACGAAGGCGGAGCTCCACGTGATGAGAAGCCTCCTGTCCCAGACGTGGAGGAAGAAGAACCCCTCTCCATTGAACGCCGCGACGACATCCTCCCCATCTACCCCCTCCCCAATGCAATCGTCACCTCCATTACCCACGCAGCTAGAGGCTCCTCCCAGAAGACATCTGATCTCCTCTCTGGCATCATGCTTACGGGTGGCACATCTATGATTCCCGGACTCGGTTCGCATTTGGAAGAGAGTCTGAAGGGGATACTACCCGGCTACAGCAAGGACATCCTGATCGGACGACCACCTAGGGAATTAGATCCGCAGGTTGTGGCATGGAAGGGCGGCGCGGTCTTTGGCAGGATGAATCGCACCAATGATAGTTGGATCAATGCGTTTTTGTATGAGAGGTTAGGTGAGCGGATTTTGGCGCACAAGCTCATGTGGGCATGGTAATCTGTGGCTGGTTGTCCGTTGCCCGACGTCTCTCGTGGTGGCAGCGGTCCCATCTACAGCGACATGTTGGGCTGATCTACCCGTTGGTTGTGAGGACGACGTGTATATGAACATGTTCCGACTACTCGCCCTTTGTTTCATGGGAGGCCTCTTTTATGAAAGCATACGCATGAGAACTTGGATGACTCGTGGTGGCCATCTTCTTTGATAACTTTGACCAATCCGAGACCGTTTCAATCCAGGCGATTTGTCTCAAATGGGCATAAAGTCCAGCGGGGCTTGTGAAAACCGGTCGAGAACGAAAGCATTACTCGACTGGAGAAGTCATTTATATGGCCCTACTGTCCAACATGATGCCCAGAATCTTGCTTCCTCAATGCTTCTCCTTCAACCAGCCCACCAGCGCCTCCCCAAATTCCTTCGGCTTGTCCAAATGAGCCCAATGTCCCGAATCAACCACGACCTGCTTACAATCCGGTATCAATCCGGCATCGAGACTCATCTGCAGCATCTCCGGTCGGCAGACGTAATCCCGCTTGCCGCCCCAGAACAGAAGCGGGCACTTGATGGGGATGTTCTCGGGGGGGATAGCGGCGACGGCTTTGTCCTGTACGCCAAAGACCATGGATCGGTAGTAGTTCAGGGGCGCATCAAAGCCTCCAGCCTTCATGTCGGCGATCCATTTCTGCTTGCGTTCCTCCGTCGCGTAGGCCATGGTGGGCTGCCTCTTGTCGGCGAGGAGGAAGTTTCTCACGCCGTCGGGCTTGCAGAGCGTCTCGAGCCACGTCTCGGGTTCGCCGTGCGCGACATCCCAAAAGGCTTCCAGGTGGGAGTCAATTACTTGGGCGCCGTCGTCGCCTGCAAAGAGCTTCCAGTACCAGAAGGTGCCGTAGCCGAAGATTCCTTTGGTGAGTTCGATGGTGGCGTCGAGGTCGAACGGTTGAGGCGTCGGAACCGTGTACGCAACGTTCATGAGGACGAGGCCGCACACTCGGTCGGCGTGGAAGTTGTAGAAGCGTTGCACGACACCGGCGCCCTGGGGGAGGGGTTCGTGAGCAATCCGAAATCGTCCTCCGGGTGACATGGGGAGGATAGGATAGCAACGCCCATTCCGCTCGCTAGACTTACCCAGTCATGGCCGACGGGGATGACCTTGTCAAGCCCTTCCTTATCAATGATCTCCTTGAGGTCCTGGCACATCAACTGCATATTGTAGGATTCCTTGTCAGTGGGCTTTGAGGTGCCATTGTAGCCCAAGCAGTCTACGGCAATTACACCGTATCCATTGGGGAGCAGATAGTCTCGAATCACTTCCTCATACGTATCAGGCGCGTCTGGGAAACCGTGAACCAAGAGCAAAGTTGGACGACCGTCCTTTGCAGGGCTGGTATAGTATGTATATGTGAAACCACGTGTGACGTCGAGTGTTTTCTTCTCGAGCTTGTCCATTGTGCCTGTGGTGGTCCCAAATTTGGGGTTTCTGATTACTTGGAGAAGGGGACGGGAAGGAAGATTTTCTGACCACCTTTGAGAAAAGGACAAGGCTCTTGCCTTTATATGCCACGAGCACCACGAGTCAGAACAGGTTGAGACCACGCATCAGTCAGCACGGCCATGCCCATCTGGTGCCATCACAACAGCTCAGAGGTAGCGACAACTGGGCTAGAGATTCTCGGCACGAACGAATCGCTCACATGTCGGCCCCAACGCGCGTAAGAACGCTGTGGTAACAAGTCCCTTCGGCGAATCCGGGAATGCGGGGGAAGCTCACGTAGAAAAGGACAAAACCCCTTGCAACAGTTGAGGGCAATGACTCATGAGAGGTACCTAATTGTTAGTACCCAGTAAGATATGTAGCCACAACTGGGCTAGGAATTCTCGGCTGTAATCTCGGACCAAATCGAACCGACCACGACTACCAGGTCGACGCCTTACCCCACCGCTTTCATGGACTGGGAGGCCAAATCTGTCAAATCACACCCGGCCGAACTTCGGCTCAGCCTTCCCTCAGGCTGCCCAGGACACCATTGCCCGGAGCACCTCAGTCTGCCACTGGACGACCATATGTTGTTGCAACACACACTGTAAATGTTTGGCCGGCGATTGCGGTGTCTGGCGGCCATGATCGTCTGGGGGACTGCCCAATAGTCCCCCCATTGGGTCGCGCAGTGCTTTCGATCGGTCTGGTTCCTGATCGAATGACTCCCCCTGTGTCGTCGTCGCTCTATAGTTCATCTGATGTCGGACATTGCCTTTGGCCGGCTAGGACGGACGGTTGGACGAAGACTGTATGATGTCTCTCGGAAAGAATATATCGACCTAGTTGAATTTGATTTTGCGCCTTGGCATAATCAGTCGACGTACCAGGTGTTCTTTCACCTACATGCCCCCCTTGCGCGCTGGTGGCGCCGAATGGTGCGAGGAGGCTGTGGATGACAACCTGCACCTCAAAGTCGCTTTTTCAGGGGTTGTCTAGATTTGGTTTGTCGAACCTGGCGCAGGATTTAGCCACAAAGATCTGTGTGCTCTCGCCAATGGGCAGACCCGCAGGATTGTGTTTCGCAGGGCAAATGCCTCCTGCGTTCAAAGAACATCGGGCACACCAGCAACCGATTGGGGTGGTCGAGTCGCTTGACGAATGGTTGGTCATTATAGCCAAACACATTTCTGTGCTCCACTACCAACCTCAATTGACGTGTCATTGTCTTCTCGAGACCACCACGACGAACGATATCAAAACAATCAAGGCAGAGCTAGCCATCAATCGCTTTTTCATAAGTCTTAGTGGATGCGCCAACTCGGCGTTATTGTCAGTACAAAGCTCACAGAGCTGCTCCAGAAGCTAGAACACATTGTCTACAATATATGATTTCACACATGCCAAGGCGGGAGGGTACCACCCAATTTTGGGGACGAGTTGAGGATCTCATCGTCTTTGAAGCATGATTCTATGCATTGACGGCGCTGTGTAGCGCATAGACAAGAGGCAACGATGCACGAGGAAAGACTTTTTCCCAGAAAAGAATTCCCGAACAGATTCAAGGATGACTTGAACTCGGCGAGTCTACTCGTTCGTCGTCTAGTGCACTGCACGTGATCTTGGCTCTCGTCTTGTCTCCGATTGGCGGCTGTCGGCAACACAACTCCAACCAAACTCTTCGGAGCATATGCGGAGTATAATGTTTTCCCTTCATTGATACTCCGTCGAAGTTGTGAATTGAAACCTTGCCGCCTTAGCTCGTCCACCGACATTATCGAGGTTCTTCTCATTAGACACATGTTGCCAAGATGAAGGAATCAAGTTTCCGTGATGTGGGCTCGGTGTGCACGGGTACGCACTCGCTGTCCTCTCCCTTCGAACGGAACATTGTCTAACATACCTCCCAACCAGAACTCACAGCCGCGCGGTTTGCAATGCTTTGCCCACCGGAATCATGATATTCCCTCGCTTCTGTCTATCCCTCCTGATGGGATAGCCTTTCGAGCCTATGTACGACCTACGAAAGCTATATGTATCCGGACACGACCGAAACGCCTTCCTCCTGTCCGCTTCCTTCACCTTGGTTCCGAGACTGCCCACGATACCTCGTCTCCGTTGGCGTCATCCTGGAGGGACAATGCCGGCAATGGTGGAGCCCGCCCTGACGCGCCTGGCCTCTCAGCAACGCCTGACACGTCTAGCACAGCGCAAGGGGAGAAAAATGTCAAGGCACGGAAACCATTTCGCGTCGGCATTTCAAGAGCCAATCTCGATTCCGCCTTAGGGATAATGAGGCTGGCTCGTGCACACGGGCTCACGCTCGACGAAGTTAAGCTCAAACCTTCCCCGGGACCGACAGACTGTTCAAGCCATGCTGCTCCGTTGAAGAACGACGAAGCACTCGCCGCCAGAATGAAGATCGGGCTTGAGATGGGCAGGCAAGAGGAGAAGATGAAGGAAACTCTTCGCTTGAGGCAGACATTACCTCTGATGGCTGAAGGAACGCAGCGGGCGCTTCTGAAACTGATCAACGACAATGATGTCCTAATCGTCCTAGCCAAAACTGGCTCTGGAAAGACCACGCAAGTGCCTCAGATTATACTCGATGACAAAATCATGTCTGAAGAAGGTCCATGTACAAGCATTGTTTGTACGCAGCCACGGCGGATTGCAACGACCTCTGTGGCGCAAAGGGTGGCTCAAGAACGCCATGATACCATGAGAAAAAGCGTTGGTTATCATATTCGCAACGAGAACTGGTCACCCATTCCGCACGGTAGCATAACTTATTGTACTACAGGGATCCTCCTCAATCGCCTGATAGCCAATCCACAAGCTACGTTGTCGTCCCATTCGCACATCATTGTTGACGAGGTCCATGAACGCGATATTCAAATTGATCTTGTCCTGTCGCTCCTCCGGAAGACTATTCGAGCTAGGAAGGCGGCACACAAGAGCTTCCCCAAGATTATCCTCATGAGTGCTACCATTGATCCGACCACGTTTCTCAACTATTTCCAAGAGCCGGCAGACGATGGTACTGTCCTCACAGCCAAATGCCTCGATGTAGAAGGAAGGCGTGCGCATGTCGAAACCCACTATCTGCCAGACATTCTTTCGGAATTGTCTCAAGGAACCGACATACACCCCTCGATGCGCCAGTTGATTCAGGGAGGCCACCATCAGTCCAGCGCACGCTACATTGAACATGAGATGCAATTTTCTGCCAAGCAGAAAAAGTTGGCATGGTCACATTCAAATGAAAGGGGCGAGAACGAGAATTCGCCGCTGTCGAGTGCTGTAGATGAAGCCGACGTCGCTGAACTTACAGGGCCAGTGCGCGTCGGCCTCACCGTCTCAGTAATAGCGCATATTGCACACACCAAGCCTGATGGCGATGTACTGGTCTTCCTTCCCGGGTCAACGGATATGGAAAAGGTTGAGCTGCTTTTGACCAGTGGCCGTTTCGACAGTTTAGGTCTTGATTTCGGGGATTCGAATAGGTTTCGGCTGTTCAAGCTTCACTCTCTGCGCCGGGAAACGAACGACCAAGTCTTTGAACCTGTTCCCGAGGGTTGTCGGAGGATCATCCTGACAACGAACATTGCTGAAACTTCAGTCACACTCCCAGATGTCGTCTATGTCGTCGACACCGGCAAGGAGCGAAACAGTCTTTTTGACCCTTCGACGCTTGCGAGGAGTCTGCCTTACGCTTGGATCAGTAAGACCAGCTCAATTCAAAGACGTGGACGTGCTGGGCGGGTCCGAAACGGTCATTACTATGCTCTTTTTTCAAAGGAACGGCATGAATCACTCCGACCAATGCAACGTCCTAAGATTGAGCAGTCCGACCTCGCGGATCTGGCACTGCAATTCAAGGCTTTCCCCCATCACGTTGACGTCGAAGGTCTTCTTCTCGAAACAATAGACCCACCCTCCTCTGAATCTATCGCAAGCGCGATCAGACAGCTGCAGAGTCTAGGCGCATTGACTGAAAGCGGAGATATCACAGGCCTAGGCCGATTACTGTGGCGATTGGGGGTCCATCCAGCGCTGGGGAAGGGCATTTTACTGGGTTCTTTGTTCGGATGTCTTGAGCCCATGCTGATTATTGCCTGTCACGATCCTGCAGCTCCTCTGGTGTCGACTTTAGAACTGAGTATCGACAAACTTAGAGCCGTGAAACAGCAGTATCTCCCTGAGTCCGAAACGGACTTTGCTTGGATCGTGGAGGCTTTTAGAGAATACCACGCAGCCAATTTGGCCTGTGATGAAAATTTGATGCAGGAGCTACAAATAACAAAGCATATTCGACACCGTGCTTACCTGGATATGATGACAACAAGCAAAGAACTTTACGATATTTTGGTGGAAGTTGGATTCCTTCCAGCTCTGCGGCCCGGGCAAACCATTTTCGAATCGCTGCCTGACTGTTTTAATGCCAACAGTCACAATATGGTCCTAGTTAAAGCGCTGCTTATCAACTCCGTCAGCGCCGAACTAGCTGCCTGGCGAGGAACGACATCTTCCGGAGCACGTAAATATGGCTGGTCAACTAACAGCCGCGACCTCAGAGGCATGATCTCGAAGCATGGGGTCAATGAAGCGAACACTCGGGGAGAGCGACGTAAAAAGAAACGATACCGCAGCCATGGTCGGTTGATGGCATACACGTGGAAGCAAAGGGCGCTAGATGGACCTGATGATATCGTGTGGCTTGAACAGGCATCCATGGTGACGCCGCTTATGGCCATATTATTCTGTCGGAGTCTCAAGCTGCAGAGAGATCAGGTCTTGGAGCTCAACGATTGGCTCCGACTACGAGTCTCAGCGCCTGACGATGTTCCATTGGAAATTTCTGATCAGACGGCGGCCATTCTGATGGAACTGAGGAAAACAATTGATCGGTTCGTGAATCTCGCATGGTTAGAGCTTGAAAAATTGAACAACAATCCTCGAGCGCTCAGATCGCCACATCCTTCTGAAAACCAGGAACAAGGAACAACAAGACCAAGCAGCTTAGGTCTCGAATTCAGAGACGTCATGGTTGGAGCAGTCGTGAAAATGCTAGATGCTGATGAGGCGTACTGGAAGGAATGGCGAGAACGGCGCCGCGCTGAGATTGCTTTGGATGTCGAACGGGAAAGGAACGAGCAGGACGGGGAAGGGCCAGCAGAGGCCGTCGAGGGGGATGAGCGACAAGAAGCAGATGGACAGGAAGATGTCGAAGCTGCTGAGCAGGACGAGATTGACTCAGATGCCGCTGAAGAAGAAGATGCTGATATTGAGCCTGCTCTTGACGAGGGTGACCGGGAGAATGGGGCCAGTGGTGAACCAAGATACGAGAAGACAACAGCATAAACATATATGGTTCGGCTATTGATATGCAATGAGGATCATCCCTTTTTGGGGTTGTATATACTCTGTACTAAAACCGGCTTAGACTATGTGTGTACATAAAACAAGGGCGAAGAGCATTTCACCATGGTAACACAGTAAGAATACCAGTATACCTACCTAGATCGTCGACGGGAACGGGCAAAACTGGACATCCCAGTAGTGTGGCAGGGGGAGAGTATGGGCGGGACTCCGCAGCTCTCATAGAATATTAGGAAGGTTGTAGGTTGTAGCCTTCTCCAAGCAATGAATAGGGTATCGACACGCTTCAACGACTCCCGAATCTTTCCGTGGCTACTCGACGGCGGCTGCGACTCTCCTGATCTGCGCATGAAATCTGCCCCTACTTGTATATCCAACGCCCTGGTCCGCGCGCTTTTTCGCTTCTAACTGCCGCAGAAGAGTGTGGTGGGCACTTCTGCAATTCCATGACCGCTCTCGAGACCTAAGCACGATGGTCCCGGGACCGGTGCGCAGGTGCCAAACTTCGCATCTATTTTCACAGCGCTGGGATGGCTTGCAGGGAGAGTAGCTGACACGCTTGACGGTGATCATGTCTTGCTTCCGGATCGGCCCTCCTAATGAGCTAGTAAGTCTGCGAAGGCGGTGCCTATGGCTTTGAGGGCTTGGCCCCAGACAATGAGATTGGGAACTTGTCAGGGGAGCAGACGAATGTCCTTGCTCATCGGAGTTTGTCATCTCAGACTCGAGGTCACCAGCTTGGAACAATTGTTCCCGAATTCAAGACTCCTTCCGCTTCAGCTTCCGGAGTTGGAATAGCCAGGTCATATACCGGTCGAAGAAGGCAGTCCAGGTGTAGCCACCAGAGAGGAAGTACACCAGCCAGCTTCTATTGCCTTCCCAGATCCAGTTCCTCCTGCCATCCCTCAACAGCCACCTCCAAGGCCGCGGACCAGCGCCAGGAAGAACCTGTTTGACGATACTTTCCGCATACGCTGTGGTGGGCATGGCTCCCTCCTGCGAATGGCCTTGGCGTCTCAGGTAGTTCTCCTCGAGAGGGGCATATAGGCTGTCCTCTGGCAAGACGCGCTTGACATGAGAGGAGATGCGCGACTTGACGCCGCCAGTGACAATTGTGATGACCTTGACATGGAATGGGGCGAGCTCAACGCGCAGGGTGTTGGCATAGGCTTGCAATGCCGCTTTGCTGGCATTGTACACACTGCCAAACACATAGGGGATGACAGCGGCCAGGCTGCCGATCATGACAATGGTTCCGTGAGCTTTGATAAGAAGAGGTGAGAAAACCTGACACATGCGCATGACGGCGAAGAGGTTGACATCGAAGATCTTCTTGGCTTCATCGACGTTGATGTCCAGAGCGGGCATCACATACGACACGCCGGCATTGTTGACTGTGCATGACTCGTCGTCAGTTCAATCGTGTAGCCAGGGATGTTGTCAACACTCGCAATCAACTCACCCAGATAGTCAAGGCCATGGCCATCGGTCAACCGCTCAACAGTCTTGAAACAGGCGAGGATTGACTGGTCGTCGTCGACCACCAAGGGCAGAGTCTCGATCCCTTTCTGCGACAAATCCTCGATTTGACCAGTTGTTCGAGCTGTGGCAAAGACCCGGAGCCCTCGAGCATGAAAGGCTAGAGCAAGAGCGTGGCCGATCCCACCAGGACTGCAGCCGGTGATGAGGACTGACTTGTGGTGGTCGGTGGTCGCCATGACTGGAGGTGTTGAGAATATGTATTGGCAGAAGCTGTGGTGGAGAGGGCCTGGTGAGCCGAGTCGCCTGCGTCTCTCAGCCCCGCATTTGGGGGCTGTTGAGAGATACTTCCACCACTTGCACCTCTCGCAGATGACAGCCAGCTCGCAACCCCAGCGTCTGCGTAGCGCACGGAGCGAGGCCAAAGATGGAGATCTACAGGGACAAGCACCGAAATGAAGCATCGCCAGCTGTTGGTTGACTTTGACCCCCCCCTGATGTCCGCAGCTCAGGTCATAAGCACGGCCACCCTTTCTTCCCGCGCCTGTTCCTTCAGCTCCTCCCCCTCTACACCCCTTAATGGTCTCAAGGTGAAAGACTCGCTCACTCGTTTCACTGACTGTGGTCTAGACTCTCCTCTGCCCGGAGACTGAACATCACTCAAGCACTGAAACACTCATTGATCGCCTCAGCCTGACGACTCCTGGATATATTCTATACCAATCCTCACACTCGACCGTCATGTCCACAGAAGTGAGAATCACTGCCTCTCCCGACCAGGAATGGCTCGACAGCTTCATCTCTCTGCTCTCTCGCTCCTACCTGACCACCCCTCTCACGACAGCCTTCATCACAGAGATCGACAACAGCAGCCCAACCGCGGACGTCTCTCAGGTGATGACCCCCGAGCGTCTCACCAAGCACTTCACGTTGGGTATCACGGCTGCCGCAAAGTCCAATGTGGTCCTCGTCGAATCAGGCGACTTCACTGCCGCAGCGCTCTTTGAACCTCCCGATTTCTGCGGCATTCCCCCCTCGCAGGCCCGCCGTAACCCCGGGCCTATACTGCAAGAATGGCGGAGCACCGCGCGCATGTTGAAGGCGAAATACCTCTCCATCCCCGATCAAGGGGAGCACAGTTATGACCAGCCTGCTGCGCCCTCCCAGTCCTCGGGGGCGCCCTCTGAGGACCCGTACCCGGCGGACTTCAACAAGGACATTGATTTTGAAACTCGCCCGTTCTATCACCTGGCCATGATTGCGAGGGACCCCGACGCTCCACCCGACAAGAGCAGGAAGGCCTTCAAGGCCTGTATGGACTACTTTTTGAACAAGGCGAGGGACGAAGGTGTGCCGGTCTGGTTGGAGACGGCCAGTGAAAGCGCCATGAAGGAGTACGAGGGCATGGGATTCAGGGTATGTGAGCAGGTGGTTATTGGGAAGGGGAGAGTTAATGAGAAAGGTTGGCCGACGGAGGGTGGCAAGGGGGTAGTGACCTGGGCGATGATTTGGGATGAGCACCTGAATTGAATTTGAACCGAAATGAGCAGAGTCGCTGAGGGTCTCAGCGTCTGTGTAGATAAACTGGGTTATGACGAAGCTGAAATGATATAATTTTATCTTGGCACATTTATCTTTCAACCTTATAGAGGCGTGCCCATAGATCAGGTCTATATTGGCGTTGATGCCGCGGGACGGGAATCCTATGTAGGCGGACTCCCGGCACGACCCCGATGACACCTTCCGCAGATGACAAACACCTCGAGGTGGAGATATGACCATACCTCCCTCCAGTTCTTTCTTCCTGCTCATCCTGCGTAGGGCAGTAGAGACCAGTGGCGGGCTGTGGTGACCGGAGAAAGGCTGAACAAGGCTTGAACAGAAGCAGACCAAGACGTGTGCCGGTTTCTTCCTCGGAGTCAGGGGAGAAATGGGTGCCGAGAGCTGCGTCTCCACTTATCAACGACGGCCCGGTCGCGTGCCACGGAGCTTTAGATGTTCACCGAATATTCATTCACCTCTGTGTCACACCAGGGAGAGGGCGAAGAGTTTCTTTGTTCTCTTGTGGATCATATGTAGCCGACTCTTTCGTTCATCCCAAGGGAAACAGCCTCTCACGCCTTGCAATTGACCTTCCAATTCTCCGCGACCCACTTGGCGATCAAGGTCGTCAGATTGTCTCCGGGCATATACTGATCTACGTCATCGTCCGAGTATTCGAGCCCCAAGAACCTGAAGGCTAAGACCACCCATGGCTCGATGAATTCATTGAAGACGACGTCCACGACAACATCTTGGTCTTTGTCGAGGTTGATGCTGTTGGGTTGCGGGTTGATGGTTGACTGGATACAGTTGGGAACGACGTAGAAGGATATCGGGGAATGGATCGTATCATCTCCATCGTTGCCCAAGTCATCGTGCGTGGTATAGCCCGGCGTCAGACCGTACCGACCATCATCCGAGACAGAGATTTGCGAGTGGCCATTCTTGTGATCAGATGAGATGATGATGTCTTCTTTCACACCAATTTGTTCGGGAGGGGCCATTTTCCACATGGCATATGATGGATCGACATTCTCAAAGATTGGTCCCCCACGGTTCAGCATATTAATGAGGTGTTTGGCTTTAATGTAAGGCACGTCCTTGATATAATGGAATCCGCTTGTAAATGGACTAATAATATAGGTCGAATCCTTGGTAAACGGTCCCTGGAAGATGTCAAATCGAATTGCTCCAGTGTTCGATATGACGAGGCGAGGCCTATCAACCCGTCTGGTGTCGCTCACAATGTCGGGAAACACCTCTTCCTCCAGCCACGAGTAGATGCTATTGTTGCTTGGATACGGCGCGCGACTCATCCACAGATCCTTTGGAGCACAGCCAAATGTTCTATCAAGATCAAGGGCCTCGCGAGCTTCCCCGATTGCTTCTGTAATGTTTCGGCCGCGCTCGGAATGAAATGTCGATTCATTATGACCAGAATGGTGGTATAATGAGTATAAATTGTTGTCGATGTATCTTCTGAAGAACGTGGGATTCGTGCCAGCCGAACGGCTGGTATTTGTAGAGAGACCGTCGATCGACAGAAAGCCAATAGTCTCCATGAAGCGACCACTAGCAAGGCCGTAGGAGTTGCTGTCAAACTTGCGGTAGTCCCGGATATGGTAGTGGCCGCCGAAGAATTGGATGGGAGTATCCCAGTGGACTGCACGGATGGCCCTGTAAATGATTTCAAATTCCTCTGATCGTACAGCGGCGTGGCCAATGATTACGAACAGGTCAACTTCTCGATCGCGGATTGCGTCTTGAAACCAAGCTTCTTGAACCGTCTTTTCGACTCGCTGGACGACGGTATTGTTGTAATTTCCGTTGAAATCGTAGAGGAACCCGAAGCTCATGATACGAATTCCTTGATTCTTCGTGGTGAATTTTTTGTACCTGGAGGCAAGGGGGACCAGTTCCCCGGTATTTGGGTCAAGGATGTCGAGATTGGAAGCAAGGTA